TTTTTTTTGGGTTCTTTTTTTTTTGGGTTCTTTATTTTTTTTCATGTTTTTGTTAGTTTCTGTCATTTTTTCATTTTTTTCTTGAATTTTTTGAAGTTTAAAATTTTTTTAAAATACTTAGAATTGCTGTTTTTGATATTTTTAAGTTGTTTTAGACGTTATTTTACTTAGTTTTTTATTTAACTTTCAAAACTATTTTATAATAACAGTTACAATCTTTTATATTCACATTTTAATTTTAATTATCCATTTGTATTGCTAAATTGGTGTTGTTATTTTAAAAAATAAATCATTCTATAGTATAGAATTAGTAAAGTTAGTGATTTTTATATTTAGTTTTTAGTATATTTATCAATAGATTACATAGTATAATGGTTAAGTGGAATGATGTGTGGTTGGAAAAGTTAGACAAAAATCTAGTGAAAATCCAATTATGGGCTGAAAAAAAAAACTCTGAATATGCTATTTGTAAACTATGCAAAAGTGATTTAAAATTCAGTTCAGTTGGTTTCCAAGCACTATATCAGCATTCTTCAAAACCTAAACATAAGTCAGTGTCTGATCTAAGATTTTCAAAAACTGCTCCTCCTTTATATGTAGATTCTAACAAAAACTTTATTGGGGGAGAAAAAGTTATACAACTAGAGTTCTCTATAAATGAAAAAATTTCTGCTGCAGAAGCCATGTGGCTTTTTAAAGTGGTAGAGAATGATCTTGCCTTAAGACATTGTGATAACACACCAATATTGTTCCAAAGAATGTTTCCAGATAGTAAAATAAGTCAAGGTTTTACTCTGAGTCGGCAAAAAGCTTCATATATTTTGCAAGATGGCTTTGGGCCATTGTTGGAAAAGCGTTTATGTAATAGTATCACGTATAGTATCATGTTAAGTCAAGGTGCATTCACTTTAATGTTTGATGAAACAACTACTTCACAACATCGTTTTTGGTCAGAAGACGAAAACCAAGTTGTTACAAAATATTTAACATCGCTGTTCTTTGGCAGAGCAACAGCAGATGTCAAAACAATGCTAGCAGATTTACGTCATAATGAAAGGTTTTATTTACCATGGGATCGTCTTTTTAATATTTCAGCAGATGGTCTTAATATTAGTAAAGCCATTTGGAGATTGTTAAATGCTGAACTTCATAGCAATGGTTTTAATGGCTTGTTACCATTTGTAAGTTGCACTTTGCACACAGTGCATAATGCTTTTCGAAAAGCAATTAATGTTGTCGGTGAGGTTGCTGAGCAGCTTGCATTTGATTTACATACCTGGTTCAAGGTAATGATTTGAGTAATTTTATACAGTAGAATCCCATTAATTCGGACCATAGATAAGTTGGATTTGTACTAAGTTTGACAGATTTTCAATTCCCCTTGAGCTTTCTATACATACAAAAAGCTTAGCTTATTTGGACATTCGCTAAGTCGGACTATTTATCTATTCCCTGTGAGAGTCTAACGTAACGGGATTTTACTGCAGTTAATACTAAAAGAGAATTTTTTATTTTACCTTATTTTTTTTACATTATTATTATTTTTTATTCTAATAGTCTATTATACGACTAGCTAATAAAGTGTAGTGTCTCTATATAATTTTTTTTTTCTGTTTTAGAATGCACCCTGTAAAATAGAAGATTTTAAAAAATTATCAGATTGCATTTTTATTGAAGATGAAACATTGTTTCTTCGTTGTCAATACTAGATGGCTCACTCTTTCTTCTTCACTTATAAAGGTTCTATTAAGGTAGGAAGACACCAAGAAATATTTTTTGGAATATGTTCCAAAACAAAAGGAGTATAAAAAGACATTGACAAACAACAAGTGTTATATTCGGATTCAAAAAAGTCTTAAGGAAATTGAAAATGTAATTAAAGTTATTCTTCTTATTATTTTTTTTGAATTATTATATATAATAGAGAATTGATTATTTTAGGAGTTACTTGTGTCCATCAAATTCCTTATTGGTTTAGCTCCCTTGTTTAAGAAATACTTGACAATACTTCAAGATGAAGGACCACTTGTTCATATTTTATTTTATAAAATGAAAAATCTTTTAATATCTTTAATAAAACGTTTCCTTCAACCGACTGCTGTTAATGGAAAGCTTACCAAAGATCTTTTAAAAATTGATTCTTCCCATTTAAGTACCCACCTTGATTTAAATAAAATGGACTTTGGCAAGGAAGCTAAAAACCAGGTAACTTTTGATAGGTACACATTTGCTACATTTACCAGTTGCAAAGTAAATTTATACTTGCAAAGTTTGCAAGTATAAAATTACCTGGTAAATGTGTACTTGGTAATTATGTATAAGTAAGTGTACTAGACAATATAAATTATTTTGTTTATTGTATTAATCATTAGATATTTTATTATTGAAAATTAAGTTTTTTTATTCATTTTTATTGATGTAGATTTTCAATATAATTATGTTTTAGGTGAACAAAATATCATGTGAAAAAAAAAGATTTGTCTGCTTACAGCAAATGAGAGATGGATATATATTTGTTGTAAAACACTTGCAAAAAAAACTTCCACTTGATTCACAGATATTAAAAGATATGACTTGTTTGGGTGCTCAAATGAGATCAGAACCTTGGACTGTTAATGCAATTGGGCAAATAGCAGTTACGATGCCACATATAATTACGGAAAGGGAGGTGAATATTATCTCAGTAAAGTTGTTAAGAGCTGTTTAACAATTCAGAATGGAAATGCCAGTGCTGAGCGAAGTTTATCTGATAACAAAAATACATTGACTCCTGACTCAGGAGTCAATGTATTTTTTTGATGTTCTCAAAGCCATTAATGTTTCATCATTTAGATTTACTCTCTCAGGAGTCCTGAGAGAGTAAATCTAAATGATGAAACATTATTGGCTTTGAGAATATCAAAAAAATATGCAAGAAGTTGCAGAGGAGCATATAATGTTAATGCACTCCCCAAAGACTTTGTTCAAGCTGTTCAAAATGTTCATAAAATATATAAAAAAAGAAAAGCTGAAGAAGACGAAGAAAAAAGAAAAAATTATATTCATAAGCAAGAACTAATGAATAAAGAAAAAGAGCAGAAAGAAATGCTTGAAAAAGTTGAAAATAAAAATAAAAATTTAGATCAACAGAAAAAAAGTCTAAAGAATGATGAAAAAAATGCAGATCTTGAGTTTCAGCTTGCTCAGAGAATGCTCGATGAAGCAGCAAAATCTATGCAAAGTGCCATTATTAAGCAAGACATGATGGATATAAAAATTGCCCATGAAATGGTAAACAGCGCAAAAAGAAGTCTTGAAAATGCTACATCTCATAGAAATGAACGGAAAAAGTAGAGAGAAAATATTGGTTTAAAACATAAAAGTGAAATGGATAGATTAATTAAGCGTTGCAAAAAATTAAAGTAGTCATTAAAAGTTTGAAAGTTTTTGTAAATATAATAGAGCTTGAACTGTTAGTTCAGTTATAATTAGTTAGCAAAATTTTTTTATTTATATTAATTATTTTAGACTTTAGAAAAAAACGTTTTATTGCGTGTTAAACAACAAAAAGATGTTGAGATTTTCATTTTTAAAAGAAATTATTGATGGCGGAATATTTTGTTTGTTATATTGTTTGTTATTTTCTAAATAAAATTATTGAACTTTTCATTTTTTTAATGAAATCAGTCATTTTTTTAATTTTTTGTCATTTTTATCCTCAAAATACCGTCATTTTTTGACATTTCTTTCAAAAGTTGCTGCTTGACAGCCTGTTTAACATTAAAAATAAAATTATTGAGTTTATAAATTTATTTATATATTTTCATATAATTTGGAACTGTTCACTTTTAAAGACAATTTTCCAAAAAATGGACACTTTTTAAAAAAATCTTATTTTCCATAGAAACTTGAAATTAATTTTTTTTTTTTTTTTTTTTGCAGATTTGATCTAATAAACAACTATATTCCACAAAAAGTAATCCTAAAAATCTTCAATATTTAAAGTTATTTAGCTTTTTGTTAAGAGTGTCCGGTTAGCCGTACTTTTACTCATAATTTATCATAATTTAAAAATGTTAATTAAAGATCTTGAATTTACACTTACAATAAGATAAGACACATTTTTTTTTAATAAATAAAATTCAAAAATGATTGAGAAAAAATTAGAAACTTTATGTTACCTTTCTTACTAATGTTGCATATACATGCCAGAAATCGAACCTCAGATGTCTTTATTCTGGTGCGTACACTGAAACAACTGTGCCATGGCTACTCAATTTAGATATCTTAATATTTTTTATTATTATTATTTTTTTAAAAACAAGTTTTATCTAGAAAAAGAAGTACAAAATGAATAATAATGAAAAAAATGTTTTTTTACAATAAAGATGGCTATTTTATCATGATGTCATCAATTACATTTTATGCAAAGCTAACCATGCAAATATATAAATATAACTATTTGCGTACAAAACATAAAGATTTAATAATCACTATTATTTTAATTTTCACTTCGATTTTAAATTATCAGCAATTCTGTTCATTTTTACAAATAATATCGAAAACGAAATACTGAGGGTTTTATGAAACCACTTTGCTATTTTGGTTGCTATAAATATATGTGCGAAAAATTTCACCATCTAGTAAATTTGAATTAATTTGCCCCTTAAGTGTGTGTGTGTGTGTGTGTGTGTGTGTGTGTGTGTGTGTGTGTGTGTGTGTGAGTGCGTTATATATTTAATTATATATATGTGTATGTTATATATTATGTATATATATATATATATTTTATATATAATATAAATTTTATTTATGTATATATTTTATATATTATATATATTATGTATATATTATATGTGTGTGTATTTGTATATATATATATATATATATATATATATATATATATATATATATATATATATATATATATATATATATATATATATATATATATATACATATATATATATATATATATATATATATATATATATATATATATATATATATATATATATTAGTTATGCTCCATGGTGTCCAGCTTGTCGTGCACTTGAAACTGACTGGTCACAATTAGCTAACTGGGCAGATGAATCTTTTCCATCAATATCTATAGGCAGTGTTGATGTTACTCTGCATGCAGGTTTTTTATTATTTTTTTTGTAATAAATTTTTATGTTTTTGTTATAAGATAAAATATGATTTAATTATTAAGCATTATAAAAAATATTTATGTTTCATGTATTTAGCAATTAGTTTCTAAGAAAATATAGCAATGCTAAATCTTTGCTTAAAACTTCTTTTAAATTTAAGTCTAACAATTATTCTCAGTATATCTGAGATAATTAGGAATTATGTTTAATCTGTATCTTATTAGGTTGTTACTTATAGTTGTTGATGTATAGGTGTTTTTAGAGGAATGAGTGACTAAGCTTTGAAGTTAACAAATATAAATAAATTAAAGTTTTTCAAATGATCAAAATTATACAAATATGATAATGAAAAAAACAATCCTTTTTTGATTGTCTTTCCTTAAATTTTTAAAATGAGTAACAATTTTTAAATTAAAATCCTTTTTATTATCAAAACATTATTAGCTTGATCTTTAGCATGTAACCTCCTTAAGAGTTAACATAATTTTATTTATTTTTTGTTTAACTTTGTTTGTTTTCAACTATTAATAATTTGATTGTTACTTATTGCTTTATTATATTAAGATATGCAATTATTATTATTATTTTGATGTATTGTTTTGATTTTTACAAAAAAAAATTTATCTAACAGGGAATTTGTTGTTACTTTTATATTAAAGTTAGATTTAAGTATTGAACTGACATAAAAGTAATTTAATTGTTTTCTTTTAATGCCTGCGTTTTTTTTTTTTTTTTTAGTTATGCATTTTTATATGCAAAAGTAAAATCTGAATTGTATAACTTTCTTTTTTGCAGGGTTAAATGGAAGATTTATGGTGACATCATTACCAACAATTCTTCAGTAAGTTTTTAAGATTAGAAATTTTAGGAAGTTAGCAATCGCTGTTAAATTGTATATAGTATAGTACTATATGTAATTACTTATTCTTGAGTTATAATTTTTTACTTATTTTTTCGTGGTTAAAAAATATATTTTTTTGCAATAAATATATTGTGTCCTATATTCTCTTTTTTTTCTGACTTTATTTATGTTTATAAATTCATAATTTTTATAAATTATTAATTATTAAGTATTAATGGTTTCTTAATAATATTTTTTGCATTGTTTGTTTTGTTAAAATATAACTGTCATACTTTAGAAATAATAAATGTATACTTTATTTAAATATAAATAATATAAGTTAAATAATGTAAATATAGTATAAATATTAATTATGATATAAATTTAGATGTATACTTATAGAAATAATAAATTTATATTCTAAATATAAGTATGCGGCAAGTCTAACTTTCCTTTTTTCATACATGAGTCTAATCTTATTAATTCTCTAAAAGATGAGGCAAAGCTATTTGCAGATAACTTTCCCTCTAAGTATCTCTTGAATCTAAAGATCACACTCTCCCTGGCATCCCAGAGATACAGCTTAGGGGTTGTCCATAAATTGTCATGCAGTTTTTGACCCCCTCCTCCCTCATATTGCATCTGTAACACTTTATTGATCCCCTTCCCCCCATATTATGCAAAAATTTGTCCCCCCCCCCTCCTCCATCCCAATAAAATTTTTAAAAATACAAAACGATTTTAAATATAATGTCTATAATTCTCTGAGCTTCTTTGAGTTAATTAATAAGTACTTTTCAGTTTGTTTAATGTTTTTTTTTTCACCCCAATAGTTCTGTGTAAAATTTAAAAAATTAACATCGCTCTCCTAAGTATGATACCAATACCAAAAATCTATTTTTCCGATATATATTACATGCAAAATATTATATATATATATATATATATATATATATATATATATATATATATATATATATATATAATATATAATAAATAATAACATATTATACATGCAAAAATATTAATTTATAAATACAATTTTCTACCTACCAGAAACATAGGCGTGGTCGAGTGGATTCTGCCTTCTGCTAGTAAACCCAGGGTTCCGGATTTGTTTCTCGGTATCGAAAAGTTTTATTTTTTATTTTTGAAACAAAGATTGTTTTTTTGTTGCTGCACGCTTTTGTGCACCAACTAAATAAAGTTCTGCACTTGAACCATATACTTAAACCATATTCTAAGTTTTTATTTATTTTTTTTCAATGATTTTGATCTTTCGCCATACTTTTCCCAGCAACAGCAACAAGTAGAATTCATATTTAAGTGAAAGAAATACAAAAAAAATTTCTGAGATAAAAAAGATGGTGTTAATAATATTTGAAAATTTATTTACTACCATCTTTTTTATCTCTGAAATTTTTTTGATTGGTTAGTACAGGGAATAATCAAACTTATAAGTCCATCTAATATTAGGTTACAGTATAATTAATGGAATAAATAGCTAATTCTAAGTGAAATATATATATATATATAAATTTGTATAAAAATATTTTTTAAACATTTATAATTTTATTTTCAAGTTATTGTATTGAACAATATATTTTACAAAATAAATTGTAACCTTCATTAAAAAAATATCTAACAGTGATTTCCAGGAATAAAAACATTTCTTTTTAAACACTTTTTTAAGTTAGATCTGGTGAAAAATTAAGAAATTTTATTACAATTTTATAATATATTTATATCAAAAAAGGTATGATAGCAATGCGTTTCCATTTCAAAAAATACATTTTCTAAAACAAAATATATGTATAATACTTTCATATAATAAGGACTTTGTTTGAGTCCACGACAAAAAACCTGGCAGTCTCTCTGATGCACAGTGAGTCCTGACAACATTTTTGTTTAAGTCTTGCAAAAGCGTCCTCCCAAACTAATATCAGAACTTGTTAAAAAGTGCTACACCATTTAAAGTCTATGTACAAAAATGGCAATTCACCTACTTGTTAAGCTATTTATGATATGTTAAAACTCTTTTCAATTAGATTATTTAAACAGTCTTTTGAAATAGTTTATGCTAAAAACATTAAGCAGTAATTTATATATTATATACATACATTTTTTATAATATATATATATATATATATATATATATATATATATATATATATATATATATATATATATATATATATATATATATATATATATATATATATATATATATATATTAAATTTTATTTATTGTTAAATATATATTATTCTACTTTACCTTTTTTAAAAAATTTTGATTTAAATTTATTTTATGTTTAAAATAAATTTATTATTAACTATTAATAAATTTAAATTTATTTTACAAAAATTAATTTATATTTTTTAAAAAATTTAAAACTCACCATTTTACAGTTTTTTTACTACTAAAATTTCCAAACTATTTTAAAAAAAAGAAAATTCTTTTTAATAAATTTAATTTAAGTTACTTTAAAATGTTTGTTCTATATTTTGTTTATTTATTTCTGGTTTCAAATCAATAAATTTTTTTATCGCGTAAAAAAGTGCTAATAAACAAAAGTGCTTAATGCACTTATATTGCCGGATAAACCACAATCAAGACTTAAGTCAAAGTTATCAGATATATTTTTTTAGTTTTAAATTGCTTCTAAAAAATTTTTTTTCGTTATCATTATTTTTTTTTAGATTAGTTGTCAATTAGAAATGATTAACTAGTTTATGAGTATAGTATGCAAAGATTTTGTTGAAGCCATAATGTTAAAAAAAAAATGTTGATAGTTTTGATTTATTTTTTTGACGGTTAAGAAATTCAACTATTTGCAATTGTCTACTCGTTAAATTGTCTACTCGTTTATAGCTCATTGTTTAGGGTTAATTAATTAGCAGGGCTGAGGCAACTTTATAGCTCATTGTTTGGGGTTCTTTTGTTGTTATCCTTCTTCTCAAGACTCCACTCTTTTTATGTTACTTCTGATCAAATTGACAGAGCCCTTTCTCTTTATCTGCTAAGCTTGGGTCACTGTCCCATTGTTTTAAGGTCACATCTCTTGTTCTTTGCTACAAATACTATCATGGCTGCTGCTCAGATCATTCAGCAAAATCATATCTCTTTTTACTGTATCTGTCCTTTCATGCTGTAAAATTTTTTGCTAGCATCTTCTTATGCCATCGTAAGTTACCCTTTGTCATGTAAGTATGCATCTTTTTCTCTTTTCTACAGATATTACCATGTTTGTTTCTTAAGCAAGTTCATCTTTTGTTCAACTGAACAAAACACAATCTTGTTTGACTTGTTATTCAGCTAAATCACATCATTTTATTGTAACTGCTTCTTTATGCTTAGAAAACACTAATTGTTTAAGTTTTTTGCAATCCAACAGTTTTTTATTCGATGTGGTGACTAGCTAAGAAAAGAACAATCGTTAGAGAAAAAACGTTAACAAAAAATTAAATGAAGTTGGCTTTGAAAATTATCTTGTCAAAAATTTGTTTAAAAAATTTAAAGAATCTCAGATCAAAATACTACCAGCATCTGGTATACAAAAATATGAAAAACCAAAATGAACCAATACTAATCAATTGTCAGAACCTATATTGATAAATCATGGCTTTTGAAAGTTTCACCACTTGTAAACAAAAAGCATTTCACATTTTTAGGTGTTTTTATCACAAGAAATGACGGGTTTTATTCTTTTGAAAATACATCATATGCAAATTACAAATCAAAACAAAATTTTGAACCTGAAATATTGGTTTAGTTAGTGCTGTACAGCAAAGGTTTTTCAGCTCTCCATACATTTAAAAAAAATACAAGAACCAGCAGTTGATGTCAATATCTATGCTGAAAAATATTTACAAAGAAATATCAAAATGGTCATCAAGTTTTGAATAAACATTTTTTGACCAGAATTAACGTGAATGAAGAAAATAAAACTGCTTGGTTAAAAAAGGATAATTCAAATCAAATGAAAGGTGTTTGTTTAAACCATGAAAAAATGTTTTTAAAAGATAAAGGACCTTTTTCTAATTTGTGAATGTAAATTTGTTGTTGCCATGTGTCATTGTATTTTTAATAAAAGGTAACAGTAAAAAGTGACAAAGAAATAACTCATTGCTTTTGTCTTAAAATTTTTTAACCCAGTTTTATTTAATCTGCCATTTTATTTAATTTTATTTAATCTTCATTCCTTCTTTAATCTTTATCATTTTTTTAAAATCCTTATAACTGTATTTGTTTGAATCTTCATCTTTACCACCAGGTTCTTTTTTGCATATCTTACCTATTCTTTTGCATCTATTAAAATTGTTTGTTTTGTGCTTTCTGAATTTTGACCGCACTGGTTCAAAATTTTTTCTAGATATGTTTTATATTTTACTTTTTTTTTATATATATAATTGTTTGCCATACAAAGTTAGGGAGCTCTTCCCTCTTTAATTATCTTGGGCTGTTAATGTGTCGTGCTAGACCCAGACCTGACCCAATTGAACCAGGCCTGAGTTTTGTTATTATAGACCCACTAATTAATAGGCTAATGGATCTAGCAGGTTTTGGGCTTATAATAACAGCAGACTTAGTTCAAATGGTCTGGGTAAAGACCCAACTCATTAACAGCTCTATTTATATCAGACTTTTCCTTCTCCTAGCTAAGTTAACTTCCTAATGCTACTTCTGGCTAACTTCACCTGGCTTGTTTTATTATGTTATTAAGTATTTTATGTAACTGTAAACAGTTTATATATATATATATATATATATATATATATATATATATATATATATATATATATATATATATATATATATATATATATATATATATATAAAATAATAAAAGAGTTTGATTATTTGAAAAAATACAACTTTGTGATGGGACTTGAAGTTCCATGCCCTTCGGCAATCATCAGCCATATTTTATTCTTTTTTAAATCAAGAAAAAACCGTTAAAAAAATACAAAATACAAAAACTAACAGAAAAAACAATAACAAAGCAATAGAATGAGTTCTGACGTCAAAATAAATTTTTAATTAGAAGATTGTTTAATCGGCCGTGTTGAAATGGGCGAGAAGAAACTTGTTTCGATGCCTGTACTTGGATATCATTTCACTTTTTTTGTTAAGTAGATTTTTATTTTTGGAAAACAGAATTTGATATTTTTCATTTATACACAGTTTGCAAGACTTCGTGGTTGGGTTGTAAGCATTGCACTGCTTAATTATTTTCCATTTAATAACTGGGTTTAAATTTGCATCTTTCAGTTTCCAAAATTCTGTTGATAGTTCAGTGTCATTTTTGTATTTTAGAATGTTAAATGATTTTATATGGTTGGCATATCTAATTTTGAATGGTGTTTCGCTTATACCGATGTATAGTTTGTTGACAGGAGTGGTAGTAGGATTAGTTGAACTTATTTTAGCTTGGTATACGATGTTTTTTGTTAAGCATTGGTTTGATAGAGGGCAGGTGCTTTTATTAAGGCAGTTGCAATTGGTTTTAGGTGGATCTTTTTTGTTGTTCATAATTTGTCGGTTGTGTGCATTTAATATATATTTCAGCGAAACACCATTCATTGACTATCTTATAGCCTGACTCGCAATGGAGTGTTGCTACATCCACTATCTTATAGCCTGACTCACAACAGAGTGTTGCTACATTGACTATCATTGACTTATCTTATAGCCTGATTTGCAATAGAGTGTTGCTACATTGACTGACAAATAGCCTGACTCGTAAGGAAGTGCTGTTACATTGACTGAGGGTTTGGTATGGGCAGGCAGTCTATCATTTAAGAAAAAAAAATTATTTAAAAAAAAAATTTTATGGTCTGATTTATTAATGCGCTTTTTTAAAACTACAGTTTATGGAAAAAACTTTTTGACTGCCAAGCAAGACTATTTATATATATATATATATATATATATATATATATATATATATATATATATATATATATATATATATATATATTTGCAAGTATACAATAAAAAAAAAAGAAAAGATATGCATACATAATTTCTAACACTGCTAGTGAATGTAAATACATAAGAAATAATAAATATAACGTCTTTATTAGTAAATATATAAATATAACCTCATTATTACTTAGCAATATTAATGTAAAACATTTTATTTAGTGTTATTAATGGTGAATTTCGAGTATATAAAGAAAGTAGAGAACTCAACAAGTTAAAAGAGTTTATAATTGAAAAAAAGTGGAACGAAATTGAACCAACTTCATCATGGACAAATCCTAACTCATTTTTGTAAGTTTTTTTATAGCAAGTTGATTTATATATACATATATATATATATATATATATATATATATATATATATATATATATATATATATATATATATATATATATATATATATATATATATATATATAAATTTATATATGTATAAAATTATTTTTGGCGTGTTTTAAAAGTGCAACAAAAATTTGCTTAAAAGAAATGTTACACGTTTTACACAAGGCATGTTTAAGATGTTTAAAACATTAAAACTTATTAATTAGTATTTTAGACATCTATAACTTGACTTGTGGCCTAGGTTATGTTTTATTTTAGGATGCTTATGCTTATAGTCATCCTCAAATAAAATTAATATGGTTAAAATGGTTAAAATGGCATAATTAAAATAAATTAAATTAAAATAAAAATGGTTAAAATGGCATAATTAAATATGTGAATTATGTAAGCATATTATAAAAAAACCAAAAGATTAGGAATTCACAGAGCACAAAATTCACAGACCACAAAAGATTAGTACTTCACAGTTTTTAAAATGATCTTAGATTTTATTATATTTAAAATTCTTTTTTTTTAATTTTTATGGAAACTAGATAATGACATAAATGCATTAGACTTTTTTTATTTTTTGTTGATTGTTGTTTTCTTCTTCTTCAAATGTTTTTTTTTTTTTTTTTTTTTTTTTTTTTTTTTTTTTTTTTTTTGTAAAAACTGTTTTTTCTTCCTCATGTGTATTTTGTTGTTGTTGTTTGTTTGTTTTTTTGCGTGTATTTTTTTAAATTTATACTATCATATCACTTTATTGAGACCATAAGTATCTTATTCATTGCAAGTAAACTTAAAATAGGAAACTTAAACAATTGATAATATAAAACAACAGACTTTAGCATTGGTAAGAAAAACCACGATTTTTATGTGCTTTTCTCACCAACATGGTTGATCATTTTTAATTGTTAGTTTTCGAAAATGAATTGATGCCAAAGAATACTTCTAGTTGAAATAGCTTCTAATCTGCTGTAGTACAAACTCCTCCAGGAGTTTGTACTACTATAAGAAACCATCCGCTAACACACAAATAACCAAACATCCGCTAAAACACAAATACTACATAGTTAACAAATTGCTCCATATCTATTAAAATGTGTAGGCATAGATTTGATTGCATATTCATTGTAATATATAAATATCAGTATGGTTTTATATCCATTATAATATCTAAACATGAATATAGTTTTATATCTGTTATGATATTTGAAAATGGTTAAGCTGTTCTACTTATACAATAACATAGTAGAAAGTAAAACTAGTCATGGTTACAATATTATTTTAAAATTAATTTATAGGTAAAACTTTTTTTGGTTTAATTTATAAAATCTAATATAAAAGCCTTTTGTTTCACATAATTAGAATGAATGCAATGAGTAAAGTATTTGGTTTGTCGGTGAAACTAAAGGTTTGTTTGCATCAGTTTTTACCTGTATTTTTTTTTAAATATATAATCATTAAATTACCAAATATGTGTACTGTAAATACAATGCAATATAAGTATAAAGTCAATATAAGATTAAAACAAAAATATATTTACCTCAAACCTGAGGTAATTATACTTATTAGGAACTTTTTTTATAGGATTTTCATAGCACATTGAATGATGAATATAATATCCCTTCATGGATCTCTTTTTTGTTATTTGGTTTGATTGTTATTATTCTTGGATTGCTTCTCGGCGTTGTGAGTAATTTAAAATATTTATAAGTGTGTGTGTATATATATATATATATATATATATATATATATATATATATATATATATATATATATATATATATATATATATATATTCAGGGTGTATGCCAGATCAGGGAAAAGTCAGGGAGTTTAGAATTCTTCAAAAAAAATCAGGGGAAAATCAGGAAAATTAGGTCAAATTTTAGAAAAAATCAGGGTTTTTATTACTTATCTTATTTTAGAAGCTCTTTAATTATGAGTCTTTTTTTTTAACACTCAGTTTAACTCTAAGAAAAGCCATTATTTTTTTTGAGCTTGATTAGTAGCTAGCTTTTAGTAACTAACTAACTAGTAGCTAACTATTTGATGTTATTAGTCAGTTGTTTTTATTTTCTTTAGACTAGAATAAGTTTAAGTAAATTAAATAATAAACTTAACATATTTTGATGATCAGTGGTTACAAATACCAGAATATGCTTGGTTAATGAGTGGGGATACCTCAGCAAAATGTAGAATTTGTCTACATCCAAGAAATATAATTGAACTGTCTAATATGGGCCAGAGATTTTTAAAAAGTCATTCAACTGGAAAGAGGCATTGTGAATGTTTGTCTTTTTACTTAAAAACGACATGTATACCATTTACCAATGTGTCAAAAAATATATCTTGCAACAATCACTTTGTCAGAAAACACAGTTCAAGTTTCCATTCTTCAGTCATATGCTGTGTCAGATTCGGTTATTGGTACAAAGATCAGATGGACACTTAAAAATGTTTTGTTATCATTTTCTTTTCGAAGTTTTGGACTTTCGGACTTTCGATTTTGGACTTTCGGACTTTCAATTTTGTTTAAATCAATGTTTCCTGACAGTGCTATAGCTGAAAAGTTTTCTTTTTAAAAAGACAAGTGCTCATATTATATAAATTTTGGAATAGCTCTTCATTTTCAATCAGTTCTTATTAGAGATTAGATAAGTTAGACTTTTATGCTGTTTCTTTTGTTGAAAGTCATAACTTAGTTGTGCAAATGGGGGAGATGGATTTTGTTGTTAATTATTTGGATAGTGTTTTAAACCGTGTTTGTACTCATTACCTAGACTCAACCTTTATTGGACATAGTCAAAGTAGAGATCCTCTGCATAATTTTTTGTTGGGATTGAAATTTTTGAATAAAACCAAACTTATTCAAGTATCAATGGATGGCCCAAATCCAAATTGAGCCTTCTGCTCTAAGTCACAAAACTATCGCGCCGAAAATGACATTAACAAACTAATTCCAACTGGATCTTGTGGTCTTCATTCGATTTATCTATTATTCAAAACCAAGGAAAACAAAATAGAATGGGGCTTACTAAGAAAATTTTAAAAGCTCTTTATAAACTTCTCTATGTTTCTCCTGCAAGACTCCCGTCTTGCAGGAGAATACTTTACTGTTGTGATTGAAAGAATACTTTACTGTTGTGATTGAAAGTAATCAATTTCCTCTTCCTTTTTGTGGTACTTGATGGGTTGATGATGAAAAGGTGACTTTAAGAGCTGTTGATATTTGGGAGAGCATTTGTAAAATATTTAGGTTTTGGGAATATCTACCAAAGAGTAAGCAGCCTTCCTGCATGAGCTACTAAATTGTTTTATCTGCAGCTAAAAATCCTTTAATTCAAGCAGAATTTTATTTCTTTGCTCATATAGCTGATATTATGCAATCCTTTTAAACCATATATCAATTTGATTTAATCATTTGTTTTTATATTCTTTATGACAGTGCCAGCACTGTCATAAAGAATATAAAAACAAATGATTAAATCACTCCAAAAGATATTTATGCTTTCAACTACAGTTGCATATGTTTTCTACGGTCATTGACATGTAAGTTTGTGGAAAAATTGTCTTTAAAATATGCCATTGTGCGAAATGTATAATGTTTTGACTCAGAAATAATATGCAATGAAAAATTGGCAAAGGAAAGAATAAAATGAAAAATTGGCAAAGGAAAGAATAAGTGATTTGGTTGATAACTTAATTCAATTGCATTTGGTTACCCCAAAAGGTGGGGATGAGGTAAATACCAAATTCAAGAGATTTTAGAAAAGATTGTCTCTAAAAACAGGGAACTTTTCATGAATTTCAACAAAATAGATGAGAGATTGGATATCTTTTTTTCTAAAGTTGATGGTTTAGATGATTATCTGGTCCTGTCCAAGTTAACATTAACAAGATTATGTTACAACCTAATTTAATGAGTAAATCATTAATAAGCCATAAAATTGTGTATGACCATATGAAAGCTATTGACTTAGTTAACAAAATATTGAAATGACTGCTTGAAAAGAAACTGAGCTTACAGATGCTTGAAAGCAAGTGACTTACTTGCTATAGACATAAAGGACTTACAATCTAAAAGAGTTATAGAAAAAGTAAAAAAGAGTTATGGAAAAAGTTATTATTTATTTTTGAAAAAAATTGTAATACTTATGTGGCAATATAATATATATACTTTTTCAGTCTTTTTAACAAGAAATAAAAATATTATTTTATCAAAATAGTGTCAATAAAAACATTTTTATATTTTACTTTAAATTTTAAATGTATTTTAATAACAATAGTAACAATGACAACATACTAACAATACTTTAAAAAATGTAATAATGATGCTTTATTTTGAACTGTATATGATTTTTCTATGTATTATTCCCTAATCCTTTTTAAGTCTGGAAAACAGTTTGACGATCAGGGAAACGCGATCCACCATCAGGGAAAAGTCAGAGAAATCCACCTTAAGATTTTGGCAGACACCCTGATATATAATATATATATATATATATATATATATATATATATATATATATATATATATATATATATATATATATATATATATATATATATATATATATATATATATATATATATTCATTTGAAAAAAACTTAAAGTTGTGGCTTAGGGCTGTATTAAGTATGCAAAATATATACTGATCTTATTCCATTATCTTTTGAATAAATATGTTGACATAAATCTTAACAGTGCTTCAGAGAGAAAAAAAGAAAAAAACAAAAAATTATTTTACTATAGCAAAATTGTTTTATATCTAGGTACCTGTCTAAATTCAAACTCTATTAGTTTATGTACTTAACCCCCTCCCCATCTCCCACAGATAGTTATTTCAGCTTATAGCTACTGCAAACACCTAATTTAGTGTGATGCCATTGATGTGTCAGTGTGTTTGTATGTATAAAGACATACATACATACATACATACATACATACATACATACATACATACATACATACATACATACATACATACATACATGCATATATGCATGCATACATACATACATACTAGTTTTATTAACACAAGTGTAAGCATATGATGAAGTGAAGATAATTTAAAAACCATATGATGCAATAAAAAGCGAGGTGTTTTATAACATTTGTACTAAACATTTTTACATTGTTTTGAGTTACATTTTACATTGTTTTACAGTAATTTAGTAAATTGCGGTTAAAAAAGTTTCCAAAAAGTTTATAGCCTTTTATAATATAAAAGCATATAAAAAGAATTTTATGACATTTTTTATCTTGTTACATTCATATATTGATATACACATGTGGTACACATTTTATGTACTTAACAAAGACTGCATTGTATTGCACTATATTAAATTTGTTTAAGGCTTTAGTTATTCTTTCGGATTGGATGTACCCTCCAGAAACAAACATACCTGATATAATTAAAAAAAAGAATGATGATGTTGTTGAAGCAGACGATGGAAAACCAGATATAAAAGAAGTTGATGCTGAATTGGAGGTATAACTTTAGTTTTGTTTCCTTTTTTAATACCATTTGATTATGTTATTATTAACTTTTTTATGCAAAACTAATTATTATTGCAATGTATTGTATACTAATTCACATTATTTTCAGCATTGATAATGCGCTGTGTGAAATTTAAAAAAATAATTTTTATAGCTTTTACAGAGTTTTATTAAATACTTTCCTATATATCTTATTATCTAGGAACAGTTTTTTCCAGGGAACATAAAAGAATAATGATTATAATAACTTTTATTTTTTGCATTAAAATATTTTACTTTTTTGTGGCATACAAACTTGTCAAATTGTCACACATGAGCACTGATTAAACATAATTAATTTCTAATTAGAAAAACAAAAAAAAGATTATTGTCTAGAAAATTAAGACATTTAGTAGAGCAATGTTAGTTATTTAAATACAAATATTCAAAAAAAATAGAGTGAAAAACTGATATAGAAAAAGTATTTTTTACTATATATTATTAGTATGAAATAAAAACAAAAACAAATTCTATTTTAATACTCCGAAATAAAGGTATGCACAAATGAAATATTACAACACACAGGTATAAGGTTGATATAAGGAAACTTCTCTCCTTGGTACAAAAAAAAGTCTCACTAGCAAAACGACATGCTATAATTATACTATACTATTAACTAGAATTAAACTAGAATTTGGAAGCGATTTTCAGTTTATCACTGTGAATATTTAAAAATCTACCAACTAATGTTTGTGAAAATTTTTAAAATAAATTTTTTTTATCTTTTATAATTAATTTTAAAGTTTATTTTAAGTATTTTTAGATTTTATCAACTCTTTTTTCTAATATATCTAAATTTAGGTTTGACATTTATAATCTATTTCTTGTATTTTAAATTTTAACATTTTGTTTTCGCTTTTGTCTACTTTGTTATATTTTAAAGGACATAGCAGTTGACTGTATTTACTGAAAATAGCAATCTTGTATAAATATTTTCAAATAAGTAAATAATCAATAGTGAAAACTTGAACACATATAAAGCTCCTGTTAGGAAGCAAATTATAATTTGTATTTTTATTTAATAAGAATAGGATGTGTTTAACATTTACAGACTGTCAAAGTGGAGTTAATTACTTTTGTAGTTTAGGAGCTAACAGCTTTTAATTATAAGTTATGTGATGAATTATAGATATTTCAATCTCTTACAATGTTACTTTTTTAAATTTTTTTTTTTTAAACAGTAATTAAAACATTTTTGCTTTGTTAAGGAAACTGATAACAAAATTGAAGAAAGTGAAGTTCGTCAAAGAAAGGTATTATTATTTTCTGTTTTTCTTTTCAAATTTTGAAGTTTTTAAATTCATTTGATTGAATTATTAAATAAGATTAAGTTAAAGTTTTAAACTCTTTATATTTTTGTTTTTATTAGATTGAAAAAACAAAAGTCGAATCTTAGAAGTAACAATGAAGCACTTAATAGTTTGGCATCTCGATATCTTATTAATTACTTTAGAGTACTTGCTTTCAAAAAAATCTAGGCTAACAAAAATTGTATAAAACATGTTAAATTATTACATGCATGATTACATACCATCTCAGTATTAAATAAATGTAATTTTTCAATTTTAATAAAAATAAATTTAATACATAAAAAAGAAATTTTTTAGGTTATAAAAGTATAAACTTAATAAATACATTTTTAAATGTATATATTTTTAATTTTTTTTTTAAGTATATATATATGTATATATATATATATATATATATATATATATATATATATTATATATATATATATATATATATATATATATATATACATATATATATATATATATATATATATGTATATATATATATGTATATATATATATATATATATATATATATATATATATATATATATATATATATATATATATATATATATATATACACACACACACACAAATTTTAAACTTTATTTAAATTTAGGTTCTTTATATAATTTTTTTTTTAATAATTATGAATATAAAAATTTAAGGGAAATACGGAGACCCTGTATTTGCTACACAGAAGGGTTCATCTGTTAACTTTTACTAGTTACTGCCTGAACTATTGTGTATGTTCTTTGTTTATGCTCTTTATTTAACAATGCTGATTTTACTTAATAAGAATTTTGATGAACCGAATTGTGTTTATTAGTAAGATTAACCAAGAATAGATTCATTCAATAACATAACAAGATAAACACAGAAGTTCTAAAAGTTGAAAAAGAAGTTATATTACAGATGAGCACCATCATCCCTTATGAAGTAGTATACTCATCCAGTTATGATGATGGTTACATTGCAAAAGATTTGGAGGTATATTTTATTTATCAAGTTGATTATAATGAAGTCTACCAAGTTGTATATAAGAATCATTAAATAAAGGTTTTCCCCAAAAATATCAAATATAATACTGATGTGTTATAATGTCATAAAAACCTTTTACAAAATATGTTACAGGTAGGAAAATTTTTTATTTGTTTAATAAATTTACTCCCAACAATGCTGCAAACAACCACTAAAATGGAAATTAATAGAAAACAACTTAAAAAGTAAAATACGGAATAAAAAACATTGGTTTGCAATGAAAAAATTTGGGTATGTAAAAGTTATTATTTTTCCTCACAAATGTTTTGGAATTCTCACTAAATTGTATTTTTGTCTTACTCTACGATTTTCTACCGTTTTCTTGCTCTTTAACACTCTTTTTTGTTTTCTTACCAGGTAAATAATTTTGGTTTATTTATAGTAATAGAATGAAAAATTTCCAGCATGATGAGTACAGCAAGATTGAGTTTTGGTTGATGAAGCAAGAGATGATAGTTTGCATGAGGAGTAACCATAGTAGCATTTGTAGAAAAAAAGAAAAAGATGCATTTTTATGAGAGGCTTGAGCTCGGCAGCTATGCTCTTACTATAACTATATTAACATTTTTGACAGACGTCATCAGAAAATCAGTCCAAATATGACAATAGTATTCCATATGGAATACTATTGTCATATTTGGACTGATTTTCTGATGACGTCTTTTCTCTTTTAAATAAGGTCCATTTAAATAGAAACTATTAAGATTTATATAGGTAGAAAATGGAATCAGGAGTTAGACATTGATGAGTATGATAAAAAGGGGTAAGCTTTGCATGAGTTGTTATATGAAAGTGTTCCATGATATATTGAGTCTGAAGTAAAAGTATGATATAAGAGTTTTAGGGAAATCATAACATGATTTGAACCACTTTCAAAAAGACAAGAAGAAATGAGCACAAGCTAGGGTAAGAAAAAAGGAAAAAATCAAGGATGGAATGTAAGTGGTTAGGGATATCTAGAATATAAGTCACAAAAGTTAATTATCTGAATAAAAAATTCAGGAAAACAAAAGTTTTAAGCTTTTGTGCGAGTATGGCCAGTAGTATTAGAGCTAAGTCATTCAGTTTGATGAGTTTGATGTTTGATTATAATGTTACCAATAATAACAATATTGATTAAGGGATAAAGAGAAATTTTTGAATTTATTAGAAACAACATCAAAAAAAGTGTATTCTTTGGAAGAAAGAGAATGATAAAGGAAAAAAATAAAATCTAAAAAATAGTAAGAATATTCAAACCTGATTTCATAACAAATAGGTGAATTGGAAAGGTAAATATATGCTCTGGTTAAGCCTTGGCTGTTAGAGTATTTACAAATCAAAGGGTAATATCTGTAGACACTGAGATTGAAAATTGAAACAAGGGTAAAATTCAAAAGATAAAAAATTTACTTTAAGAAGTACAGGTATTTGTAAAAGGTAGATTAAAGCAATTTGGTCATATGAATGCTTTTTTATGTTTAAAATATTTTTTTTAGATGCTATAGGTGCTATGTTTAAGTTTAATTTTAATTTTTTTATTTATTAAAATTTATTTTTTAAGTTCAAATTTTAAATTTAAATTCAATTTTAATTTTAAACAAAGTTTGTCTCATTTTTAGATAATGTTTTTAAATTTATATATATATATATATATATATATATATATATATATATATATATATATATATATATATATATATATAAATATAAATATATATATATATATATATATATATATATATATATATATATATATATATATATATATATATATATATATATATAAATAAAATTCCAATATATTTGTATTTTAATTTTTTCAGTTGTTATCTAAACAAAAAACCAAAAATGTTTAAAAAAAAGAGAGAAATATCTGCATAAAAAAAAAAAGAGAGAAATATCTGCATAACCTAAATTAATATAAATATAAAAGTATTAAGTTGCAGATTTTTTTTTTTTTAATATTAATATTTTAATATTTTCCAGATTTTTAAAACATTACCTGGATGATTATTGGATAGTGCATGCCATTGTAAGCAATAAGCTATGCAGGCTCCTTATTTCTGTTAATCAGACCAAATTTATAAAAAAGTGCTTTTCATGTGATATTAACAATGCTCATCAAAAGTACATTTATCCTATACTAAAAATATATTTCACTCACATTGATCATGTGCAACACAGTTAAAACGCTGATACTTTCTAACTGTTATTGAAATCAGCTTTTCTTATAGAACCACATAGTTTTTCCAGTCAGATTTTTGAAGATAGAGTTTTTCAAGGATTTGCCTTATAAAATAAGTCCTGCAATTTGGCAGGATATATAGAAGGTTGTACTTGATTACATGTTACCAGTAGCATGATGATTACATTTATTAGCTGGAAGTCATTAATATTAACTCATTAATATTGACATTATTAATGAGTTATGATTGGCTTAATAATGGCATTACTAAATACACTAAATAGTGTATTTAGTAATGCCATTATTAAGCCAATCATAACTCATTAATAATGTCAATAAATAATTTCCATTTAATATTAAAACTTTTTTCATAGTTAATGAATTTAATCATTTTTTTATATTGTTTATTGAAAATTGTGTTATTAAAATATGTAATATTAGTTAAAGTCTAAAAAAGTTATGAAATAATTAAAAGTTTCCTTATATTTTTGTTTGTTTATTTAATTTTAGAATCAGGTTTGTGATTCAAGTTCAAAAGGTTGGCAATCAGCAAGGTATTATAAGTTTCTAAAGTATTTTTTTTTATCAAGAAATTAATGTAACTAATAAATAAATAAAAATCAAGAAAAAGAAAATTCAAAAACAAAATTTTTTATTTACAGATTTTGTGTATATCCTCAAGAAATAGTTTTAATGCTAAACAAAACTGCAAGGATAAAAAAAGTACAAATTCTTTCTCATCACTGCAACATAGGTATGTATATATTTTAACATCATTTATTTTTTCTGACAAAAATGTTTTTATTTTTCTGAACTTTTTTTTATTTTATCAATTGCAACAAAACTAAAAATTAAAATCTAATTTACGGGAGTGGGTCCCATTAAATATAGCTAAACTTTTTTAATGGTTTTGGAAGTTTAAAAAAAAAAAGCTTATAATTTTTAGTTATATTTATTATAAAATATTTTTATTTAGTTTAAAATAGTTTTATAATTCTCCAAATCAATTAATGAGTTTTTTATCATTTAAATTATTTAAAGTATTCTATATAATTTATACTATTACAAGAAATATCTAATTTTATCATATTTAGTTTTCTTATATTTGGTTTTACTAAATTTTATTGTATTAGAGAAATAATTCTATATTTAAATAAGCATATATTAAACACATATAAATGTTCTACATTTTGTAATGTTAGATATAGTGTTCTACGATTTGTAATGTTAGATTCTACGATTTGTTATGTTAGATATAATATTCTACGATTTGTAATGTTAGATATAATATTCTACATTTTGTGATGTTAGATATAATATTCTACATTTTGTAATGTTAGATATAATATTCTATGATTTGTAATGTTAGATATAATATTCTACACTTTGTAATGTTAGATATAATATTCTACATTTTGTAATGTTAGATATAATATTCTACATTTATTCTACACTTTGTAGGATTAGAGAAATAAAGTATTCTATATTTTGTATTGTTAGAGAGATGAAATAAAAAATATTCAACTTTTAAAATAGTTGTTTCTTTTAATTTTTGTTTTATTTTATATATATAAAATACATTCTAGTTTTTAAAATATTTTTAATCATTTATTTACAAGCAAGCAAAATTGAAATATTTGTTGGTTCACCAAGTAATTTTGATAGAAACTCCATTGAGAATATGTTATCAGCTTGCAAGTTTAATAGACTAGGGTAAAGTATGGCACTTTCATTCTTTTTATCAATTTTTTTAATCTTATTTTTTTTTTTATTCATCTATTATTGCTGATCATTAGATATGTTATTATGTCTTCAAATAAAGATTCAGATTTCAAGGTATTCTTTTTTATTTTTTTGCACATCCTTGTTTAATTTTTTTTATCTCATCATCTAACTTTATTATATAGTTTTTTCTATTTTTACTTGTTTCTCTAGTATATATAATCTTATTATTTACTTTCTTATTGTTTTGATTTTAGGCTCGTGAATTAAAATCTGTACATGTCACAGCTGAATGTTTGCTTGTTAAATTTATTATACATGAGCATTATGTTAATCAGTTGAACATTTATAATCAGGTGATTTTTTTTTTTTTGAATTATTACGATCTTTTTTCAAAAACAGAATAATTTGATTACATTAGACTGGTTTTATAATTCGATTACATTAGATACATGTAGCTGATTAAATTTTTTTTATATAAGTTTAGTGAAGCTGATTAACATTTCATGATTAAGTTTTTTTAAATTTAATTATAATTGTATAGGTATCTATAATTGGAATTAATATAATTGGAGAAATTATAGAAGATGAAAGTTTGAATACTAAATATAAAGTAGGTCTGTTTTGTTTTATTTAATTTAATTTATTTTTTGTTAAGTGTTAAACATATTTGGGTGAGTTTTGGACACCATACAAATTCAAAAGTTGACTTTTTTATCGTTAGATAATTTTTTTTTTTTTTTTTTAATATTGCATAAAAATGCTTTTATTTAGCAATGTTTCCATCAATGTATTATCATCGTAGAAATGTATCATCATCATAGAAAATTAATTCAAGAGACAAGGATACTCCCTCCCAAATTAATTGCTTAGAATACCTCCTGATTAATAATGTACATACAAAAAATATGACATCCGTTTTATTCTTAAAATTTGATAAAAATCACTTTAGATAAAAAATAATAGTTTTAAAGAAGTTGCAAACCACTTATAAAAATAAAAATAAAAACCACTTAAGCTACAGTTTAATAGTCTTATGTCTTTTTTGTAGTTTAAAGGTTTTTATTAGTTTATTATTTTAATAGTTTTTATAACATATTTCAGTTGACTTTTCAGTTAAACTTTGTTCATTAAAACTACAGTCAATCTTTTTGATTTTATCCCTGATATACTTGATGTTTTCTTTGTTTAAATTGTTTTTCAGTTCAATCTGATTATGTTATCAATTGCTAAATAACTTTTTAAAAATTAAAACAAGTGTTTTATGTTTTGGCAAAAAAATTCAGTTCTAATATTTAATATAATTTTTTAACAACTTAGTTCATTGGAATTCTTTTAACAGTTTTGTTTTTAGTTAATTTGTTATTTCAGTATATTAATAATGTCAATAATTATAAACTTAGTTTAAACTTTGTAACCTGAATTTTTGTTTATTAAATTTATTACACATGAACATTACATTGATCAGTTAAACATTTATAATCTGGTGATTTTTTTTTTGACTTATTACAATCTTAAGAAAAAACTACCATTTTTTTAACACTGTTTTTCAAAAACAGAGTAATTTGATTACAAAGTTGGTTACACTTAGTGTAACCAACACAGCTTACTGCTTACTGTGGATACAGGTCAGGAAATCTTATTGATAAGATATGATCTTATAGAATTAGGATTGAGCAAAATTTCACAAGTACATACATTTTTTTAAATCATTTTTAACTTTGTTTTTATATATATTATACATACATATTATATATATACTATAGACATATTATATTTTATTCTGAGTATAAATTTTAACTTGGTATGTGCACTTTATGTTTCTTCCAAAATGATTTAAAAAAGTGATAAGATTTTTAATAAATTTATTTAATAGAAAAAAGATTTTATGCAGTCAGAACATATTCAAAATACTACAGATTTTTTAATTACACAAGGTTTCAATAAAGTAGATACTGACGTAATTCATAGACATCAAGTCACACATTCACCAGGTATGCTTTGTTATGCAAATATATTTTATTGTTATGTTATGCAAATATATTTTAAGTTCATAAATGTATACTGTATAATGTATAAATACTGTAAATGTATAAATTATGAAATTAAAATTAATTTTAATTTTATAAGATATATTGATTTTTGATTTTCTGATTTAGTAAATTGTGATAAATACAACACATTTGTTAAAGATTATTTATAACAATGTTTTATTATTTTATTTTATTATTGTAGATAAAATAATTTTTTATTTGTATTTTTCAGATTTTTTAAAAAACTCATCCAGTGTTATTTTACCTTCATTGAACTTGATTGAGAAAAAAGATGAGTCTTTACAATCTTCAAAATATCCTCTCCAATCCACAGAGCTACCTAATATTTATAAAAACAATGTAATGTTATTTTTGTTTTTTTTATTTTTTTATTATTTTTTTTATTATTATAATTGTTTTTTTATCATTTTTTTCACCTTTTTCTTCAAAATTTATTAAAAAATATTTATTTTAAGTTTTAAATTCTTTTATTCAGTTTATTGTAAGTAAGAGTGAGTCATCATTGGAAAAGTAAGTTGTTTAATTTTTTTTATTACCTGCTTTCATTTAAACCAAAATCTAATGCACTTTTTAATTAACACATTGAATTTAGTTTTTTACTTCATGTTTAGATCTGCATAATACAACCTTTGGAATTTGAGGTTGGCAAAAAATTGCCGACCTTGTTTTTATGTTTTGCGGTCAGACCTTTGTATCAAATAATTTTTGCCAACCTCAAAAGACTAAAGTTGGCAATAATTTGCCAACCTCATTCTTCCGAATTCCGAGGGTTGATAATACATTTTTCAGATCTGCAAAATGTATTACATACATATAGTTTGTAGAAGCATCACATATATATATATATATATATATATATATATATATATATATATATATATATATATATATATATATATATATATATATATATATATATATTTTGCAGAAGCATTTTTTAATGAGTACCTAAATCCTATAAGTCTATAAACAAATTATAAATAAATTTTGTATCAAATATGAAACAATACAAGTAGTAACTGGTAACCTCCGTCATCCTGATTCAGACCCTCGTCTGAAGGTGCACATTCATGGCGTTATAATTTAAGTGTCTCCCTTACTTTTCTGTGAAAATTATTGGCCTCTACTTTTAAAGTATTTTATTGTTCCGTGCAAAATTACAATAATAATTTTATGAATGCTCCCCTATTGCTGAATAATCTCATTTTCCTTTGTATGTATTTTTCTGATATTGGTAAGTATGATGAGGTTTTTAATTTTGTTTCACCAATATAACATTCTTTGCTGGAGCATTCAAGTTTTTACACACCTGGGTAAAAATTTAAAGGAAGAAGAGGTTTACTTTTCGTGGTAAGTATATGTTGTTAATTTTTTGATGATATAAAGACTGGTGTGTATCCTGTTATTTTGAAAACTTTTCTTAACTTCGGACTGATTCCTAGAACCATGGCAAAATAAAATATTTTTTGATGAACTGAATAGATGTTGAGTCTCAATATTTTATTTTTTATTATGTAAATTTTCTTTTAGTGGTTTTTTGCATGGAACAATAAAAATACTTTAAATACAGCGTTGTTTGAAATGCAATGTCATGAATGTGCAAATTTAGACTACAGTCTGAATCAGGATGGCAGAGGCCATGCTACAACTTCTTTTTAAAAACTTGTTTCGATATTTGAATCAAAAGAAACTATTGCATTAATTTGTTTTTGTTGTGTTTTTAAAGGTTTCTTTACATTTATATTATCTTGATCATGATGGTATCTATACTCCCTCCAAATATTGTAATAAAAATCAATTTAAAAATTAAGAGTTACATCCATAGTAAAAATTTTTATTTAGTTATATAAATTAAACTCTCAAAAGATGTCTTTTAACATTTTATTTTTTTTATGTTTTTTATTACAATAAAAATATTTTTTATGCATATCATCAAAAATATGTTTAAGCTAAGCAGTTTAAAAATGCAATTTGCTTTTCCTTTTTTTCTTCAGAAAACTCAATTTAAACAATTTTATCCATGATGTGGAGATTGATGCAGGTAACAGAATATATAAAATACGATGCATACTTTTTTTAGGAATAACATTTCATATGAAAATGCAGTACACCCTAGTTTGAGCACCACAGGAGTAATTTGATTTTTATGAAAGGGAAATTAAAATATGCAGTAAGGTGCATTGAAAAACAGAAATTTTTCAAAACTGTTTTGTAATAGCTCTAAATATGCGCGATATAATAAATTATCATTGGATTTAAAAAAATTTTGGAATAAAAAATATTTTTAGAGGTGCCCTAAATCAATTGAACATTGACACGGTCCCTAATATTTTCGAAAAAAAAATTCTACAAAAGTAGGTAAACCTGGTACTCAAGAGAAGCGAAATTTTATAAATAGTTTAAAAATAATATTTATTTCATATAAAAATTATTGTTTTGAATTTTATTACATATAAACTATTATTTTTTAACTAAGAATCAAAAAAAGTGCATTTTTACAAGTTTTTTGATAATATATATAAAAAAATTATTATTTTCGAACTTTTTATAAAATTTTACTTCTTTTGAGTACCAGGTTGACCTTTGAAGAATTTTTTTTTCTTAGAATATTAGGGACTCTAAATGTTCATGGGACTTTGGGCACTTCTAAAAAATTTTTTTTTCCAAATTTTTGTTAATCCAGTGATATTTTATTATATCGCATAAGGGTGGCTCTTAAAACAGCTTTTTTAAGAAAAACCTGCTCTGACCCCTTCAAATTGTTCTGTATAATACTAAAGCACTAGGTTTAAAATTTTTTTGAACAAAAAATATTTTTAGGGGTAGCTCAGGACCCATAAAAATTTGACAGGTCCCTAATATATTGATAAAAAAATGTTATTTTAAATTATGTCAACCTGGTACTCAAAATAAGCAAAATTGTATAAAAAACTTAAAAATGAAAATCATTTTTCATAAAAATAATTTTTTTTAGGTATATAAATACATAAAAACTATTGTTTTTTAGCTGAAAATAAAAAAAAGTCAATATTTAATTTTATTTTTTTTAATTTTTTCAGACATGTTTTTTACGTAAATTGATTATTATTTTTGAAATTTTTATATAATTTCGCTTCTTTTGAGTACCACGTTGACATACTTAAGAAGAACTTTTTTTTCAAAATATTATGGACCAGTCATATTTTTAAGGGTCTTGAGCTACCCCTAAAAAAATTTTTTGTTCAAAAAAATTTTAAACCTAGTGTTTTAGTATTATATAGAACAAATTAAAGGGGTCAGAGCAGGTGTTTTTCAAAAAAGTTGTTTTGAGAGCCACCCTAATATATATATATATATATATATATATATATATATATATATATATATATATATATATATATATATATATATATATATATATATATATATATATATTCATATACATTTTTTTTAAAATTGAATTAATTTTAAAGTTTCCATTAAAGACTTAAATTATATTGTGTGTTTGACTTAAACTGTCTGATATCATACTAAAATAACCAACTGCTGGTGGCTTCAGCATATACATTGACTGTCTAAATAGGAGTCATGTTCAAGAAGTGTTGCTACACTAACTAAGGGTTAGGTTGGAGCAACAACCTTTTTTTTCACTATTCATTATTTTATTTTTTGAAAAAACTGTTGGGGTTGAAGCAAAAAAAAAGGAAATGTTTATCTAAATATACATTTATAAGTATATATATATATATATATATATATATATATATATATATATATATATATATATATATATATATATATATATATATATATATATATATATATATATATATATATATAAACATATTTCAGGTCAAAAGCATGTACACAACTTATCAAAAATAAATATAAATACATACATGTATATATATATATATATATATATATATATATATATATATATATATATATATATATATATATATATATATATATATATATATATATACATACATGTATGTATTTATATTTATTTTTGATAAGTTGTGTACATGCTTTTGACCTGAAATATGTTTAAAAATAATATAGAATGTTTTCTATAATCTTATTTAATAATATATTTCTAAAAATAATATATGTATACTTGCTTACCATCTAATTCTTGGTAGCATTTCAAACAAACGGCTATGTTTTCCCAGGCTCTTAACACACATATCTATCAAACAGATTGAAGATACACAGGTATCTTCAATCTGTTTACATAATTCATCAAAATGAGAGAATTAGGCTCAATAGCAAAAATTCAGTTCAGCATAAACTGGCTTTCATCTGACCTAATAACTTTGTTTATTAAATTTAGACAACATGATATCATAAAACTCTATTCTTTTGTTGAAATCATCTTTATGTAGCTTTTGAAATTTATTTGGTCTGAATGGTTATAACTTCAAAATTAAACTAGTCATAAATTCAAAATGAACAGTCAGATCTTTTTCAATTGTGAACTTATTCTTTCTTCCTTAATTTGTCAAACTTTAAATCGTTTTCTTATGTGGTGGCAGGATGATAAAAAAGTTTATCAATTGCCTTCTAACCTCTTTAAAAACTTAAGTTTTGCAAATAAAAAAACAATTTAAATGTTCTCTTTGATGGAAAGTTGGAGAAAGTAAAAATGTCATGCTTTTTTACATATTTCTAAATTAATAATTATACTTTTTTTTCCAATGTTTATTTCTCCCCAAGACCATAAGAAACACTACAGTCGAGGAGGTTAAATCTTTTAAGAGGTCTGCAACCACAGTTTACTTGTGGTTGCAACCCTCTCTTAACTCTATAACTCCAAAACATGAACCTTAACAAACAAGGTCGTTGTGCGAAGTAACAATTTAAGTGCAATAATACCGAAGACATGGTGGGGATCAATCGGGGAGCTCTCACTTTTGAGACAAGCGCTCTACCACTACTGCATTTAATTTATATATGTATTGATTTTTAATAACTATATCAAGATAATTTTAATAACTATATCATAGATGAGTTTTTTCCGGGAATTCCGGAAATTCACTTTAATTTTCCAGAAATTTCCGGATGTTTTTTGTTATTAATTTAAAAAAAAAAAATTATATATTTTTACATAAAATTTATTAACACTACTTTTGAAAATTAATCTCGTAAAAATTTTAATTATAGAAAACGTTTGTTTAAATAACAAACGTTTTCTATAGTTAAAATTTTTACAAGATTAATTTTCGTAACAATTTTTTTTTTCATTCAAATTAACTTTTTCGAATATTAGAAGTTCCTTTTTGTAAAAAGTTAAATATTCTGAATTCGGTTTTAAAAGTTTACGAAAGTTTTTGTTGTCTGTTACAGGGTTATTCATTCTTATATGCGTGTCTATTCAATTTTATATGCGTATTTATTCATTTTTAAATGCGTTTTAAAAAAGCAATAAGAACAAAAAAAAAATCATTTAAGCATTTTGTTTTGAAAAAACAATTTACTTTTTCAAAACAAATTTTTCTTATTTCCTGGTAAACAAGGTAAAAATACTTAAAACGAAGACTTTTTACATTCCATGATGGTTTATTTAATTTAGTATCAAGTCTTTGTTTAATTTTATTACATTATTAAATTTCTTGATTGATTAAATTATTATTTATCTAACTATTCATTTATATAGATTTAAATTTAATTATTTATAATTTTTATTAATATATCTATATAAAAATTTAAAAGCCTATTTATTGTTTATATTAAATTATATTAGAGATTTTGTAGGTGGTTGACTCACATATAAATGCGCATATAAGAATGAATAAACATGCATATAAGAATGAATAAACACGCATATAAAAATCAGTAGACGCGCATATAAAAATGAATAACCCTGTAAAATGATCAATTTTTAATTAAATAATTTATTTATTTTTTTGCATTTATTTTAAATAAACTTCTCAATATCTTTTCAGTTTTCTTAAGTATAAGAATACAAATACAAATATTTCTTAAATACAAATATTTTTGATTATGAGTATAAAATAAAAATAAAATAATTTTGGTAAATTATTTTTACCAAATTATATTTAAAAGGTATTAACAATTTAGTTCATCCATTTAATACTTTTGCTTTTTTTCACCCTTTTTGTTTATGAAGTAAGCATTACTTATAAAGCATTTCTGCCATTGTACTACTATATATTAAATTAAATCGGTGTAAATGACTAAATGAGCTTTGGGTTAATCTTTTAACTTGGGATTAGTACTCACCAATTGTTCAGTAAAAAATTTTAAATACCAATTACTATTTTAACATTTATTACAGTTTATTAATATAATATAAATAAATAATCTGAGTTGTATTTTTAAATCTCTTTTGAATATTTTTGGACTAAAACATTTAGACAAAAGTCTAAAATGCATTAAAAAAACCTGATTTAGGTCTCAAATACATTTTATGTACTTGAAATCTTAAGCAGGTATATAACCTTTTTTAAATGATTCCCCTCAAAAAGTAATCACTGTTACAAATGAAAAACAAAACTTATGTAAAAAAAACTATTGTAAACTGATAATAATGTTGCAAATTGTGGTTACAATAATTCAAGCTCTGTGATTTTATCAAATTTATGAAAACTTAACAAAGCAACTCCAGTTGTTTTTTCTTTAACAGTATTTTTTTATGCTTGACTATTTGATGAGGTTTGTATGCATTATTTGTTTCAACTTTTTTTTATTATTCATTTTATTAAAAAGTATATTTAGTATTTATATTGTTATATTTTAAAACATAGCAAGATTTTTAAATCTTGCAATGCTAATCAACTGTAGATGACTAGCATTAATTTTGTTTCTCTAGTTTTGCTTTAAGCTCATTTTAAAATTTTGAATTAACTTCTTCATCTGGTATTGAGTTCTTTTTGATTGGAATATTGTTGTTGTTTGAATAGTTGTTGCAGTATTTTATTTGTTTTTAACAAAATACTTGTTTCCTCCTTTTGGTTGTAAACATAATGGTTCTGTGTGGTAAAATATTTTATCAAACTCTTATTTAAATTTAAACTTTTTAATAAGGTTGCCTCTGGTTCTTAAAAATTACTTAAGTTAAACCTAAATGATCCCATCGTCAGGGTGGCCACTAATCATCGAAATCATAAAACTTTTTAAAATTATCTTTATTTTTTTCTACTTGCAATATTTTTAGGATACAAAGAAAAGTACTAGTATGTCTGGTCTAAGTCATTTTTGAAAAAGATATTTTTGCAGTGTAAGTTATTTGAGAAATAAAAGAAAAAGAGTTTTTTTTAGACATGATTTCAGTACTTTCTACCAATTAGTTTTTGGTTTGCATATTTTATAATGGCCAAATTGTAAATGTTTAGTGCATGGCAAGTACTTGCAAGTAAAAAAATTGCAAGTACTTGCATGCACTTTCAGTAGTGCATGGCAAGTACTAAATATTTCCCTCTAGTGATTTATCATAAAAGTTTATGAGGAGTCATGGAAAAGTCATAGAATTTCATTTTCAAATTTGAGTGGCCACCCTGCATCGTTCTTTATAAGATGTTTTATTGTGTTGATCTTTGTAGCTCTTTTTTAAATGTTTTTGAATTTTTTGATGTCGTTCTTTAAATATAGATTTAATAAATTTTTTAATGTCATTGTTCAAATATGGATTTAATACAGTTATTGAAAGTTCTATACGAGGTTTAATATATGAACTGATATCAAATCATACTTTTGGTCTGATTTAAAGCAGGATTCTTACCTGATTTTTTTGTTTTGAACTATTAGAAATTTGGATGCCAAGGTTAAAGTCGCAATAATTTGTCCCTTATATACACAGGTTATACATATAGGTTCCTTATATACACAGGTTATACACAGGTTTTTTATTTATATAATATCTTTGATTTAAATTCCCATGGCCAAGATGCATAATTTTGCATTTATTTATGTTAGTAGCCATTTATCATTTGGATATCTGCTCAGTATCATTTGGATATCTGCTCAGTATCACTTGGATATCTGCTCAGTATCATTTGGATATCTGCTCAGTATCATTTGGATATCTGCTCAGTATCATTTGGATATCTGCTCAGTATCATTTGGATACCTGCTCAGTATCATTTGGATATCTGCTCAGTATCATTTGGATATCTGCTCAGTATCATTTGGATGTCTGCTCAGTATCATTTGGATATCTGCTCAGTATCATTTGGATATCTACTCAGTATCAGATTGATGTTCACTCAGCTGTGTTGCTCGTTTTTATAAGTTCTAATCAGTAGTTGTTCTAATCAGTGTTTTCTGTGTATAATTTTGAGATTGATTTCAAGTTATTAACAAGATTGCTTATAAATATAAGTAATAAAATAAAATCCAACAAGAAACTTCTAGGATTCTCCACTTGTAATAAATACATAATTGGATTTGGTTTCTCTCATGAGTATTCTTTGCTTTCTATTAGAAAACAATGAGTCGATCCTAAAATTTGATTATAAATATCCAAGATTTCTTAGACACAACTTTTGCCACATTTTAGAATTGATGATTTTAGATCAATTTTTAATAATAATAATAATAATAATAATAATAATAATAATAATAATTGAAATATTGGCAGTTTATATTACTATTAAACTAGATTCATGTTTACCTAACCTTAATGAAAAAGAAGAGAGAGAGTCATCTACCATAATTGATGTTTTTGGCATGAACATGGTATATTTTTACATTTTAGAGTCAATTGTTAGTGTTGTGTGTTTTAAAGAAAAAAAATTTAAATAATAAAGTTTTTTATAGGCACAGAAGCTGTTTTCAAAATCATGGAAGCATCGTCTGGAACTTGTAACAAAACTTCGTGCAGAAATTGCTTCTACTGATCATAGTATATCGGTTGATGAAGCTTGTGCCATTTCTTCTATTTTATTTAAAATTCTTCAGGATCAGGTGTTTGTGGTAAGAATCTATCTTTTTAGTGACAAGGGTTTACCAGATATAATACATATTTACATATTTATATAATAGATATTTACATATTACATCTAACTGTATTTATTTAAATATATTTATTAATTTTGTTATAAAATAATATTTTCTAACTGAGAGGAAACATTGGAAGTGAAGTAAATTGTATCAACTCACCAAAATTATATCAACACATAAAAGTTATATCAGCACACAAAAATTATATCAACACACAAAAATTATATCAAAACACAAAAATTATATCAACACATAAAAATTACATCACATAAAAATTACATCAACACATAAAAATGATATTAGCACACAAAAATTATATCAATACACAAAAGTTATAAAAATTAAAATATCAAACTAAAAAAATTATATCAACATGCTAAATTTGTTTCAATACACAAAATTTATGTAATAGTTATAATAGTGTCAGGCATTTTTTAGAAGTGGCATTTGTTTTAGATGGGGAATTTTTTAAAAGTGGCAAGCATTTGTTTTAGATGGGGAAAAATATAAAATATTAAAAAAATGCTTCTTTTCTGAAATTTTTTTGCTTTAAAACAACTTTCATTGACACTATTTATCACTATTTATCAAAAAAATCTTGGAATTTAAGTATGTAGTAATGTGAATGAAAAATATTTAGACATGGGTTGGAATCTCTTGTCTGAACACAATGTTAAGTTCATTTTTTGTCTCAGTTTGTTAGACTCCTTGTTAACACTCTTCTCTCTTCTCTGCTATTCAATGTTTAAAATAACTAAATCTCTAGCTTCAGCTAATAATAATTAAAAATGTAAAAGTTAATAAAAAGTTATATCTTTATGTTTAATGATTCTGAGCGGTGTTGTGTTTGCAGATGTTTAACATTCTATATAAAATAAATAGGAAGAAAATTACAATATTAAGTTTAGACCAAACTAAATTTTAGACTACGTAAGTTATAAGGTTAAGCTTTTTTTCAAAAAAGTGCTTCTTTTTTTCTATATAGCAACTTAACAAGCGATATTACAGACACAAACATATCATATGAACTTACCACACAAACTCACCACATGGACATATCTTAAGTGATAAGGAAGGTGAAATCTCAGAAGGGTTGATAGTTGTTTCATAAGGAATGTGAAATCTCAGAAAAGTTTAAAGTTGTTTTTCAATTTTGATATGCCAATTTTGACATATTATATTCTAAATATTGACATGTATTACTGATATCCTACCAAATATGAAATGTTTTTTGAAATATAGACTTTTTAAAAAAAATTAAATTTTTTGCTTTTTGTTTTTTTCTAAAGGTTTTTAATGAAGGACTTAATTTGCTAAAAGACTTTCTTCTAAATATTCCTCATAAAAGGTACTTCTATGTTTTCATTATTTTATTACATTGACAATTTTTTTTATCTTATTGGAGAATCCTATAAATTCTAATGTTTAATGTGTTTTTGTGTGATGATATTTCAAATGATTATTTTTTTTTTTAATTTTTTAGTTTGGGAAGAGGAGAAACTTCTGTTGTTGCTGAAAAAGTAGTCAATTTATTTATTTTAAATTTAAATAAATTTCCCTATTAATAATTATAGTAATAATAATATAATTAATAACAACAAAAATATTAACAATGTGTATATAAACTCTTTAATTGTTAAAGCTTCTGTGAATTTAATTTGTTTTAATAGTTATTGTCAATAATCTTGAAGCGTACTGGTGATTCAAATTCTAGATTGCGGGTGGCAATATCTGATGCAGTTATAGAAATTTCATTGTTTCCAGTTTTAAAGGTAAGATAAGTATTAATAAATTTTTAATTTTTTATTTATTCCATTTCAAATTGTGTCATTGAAAACTTATTTTTACATGTAAATGTTGAAATCTTGTTCTTATATGTAACATTCTTACAACCATATATGTAGTGTAAATGATTTTGTGTTGTATTTATGTTTATATATACAAGAGCTGTTCCAGACCCTTTTTTGACAGTGTTGAATGTATTTGGGGGACTTTTGAGCACCACCCAAATTCCAATAAAATTTCTTGATTGTATATATATATATATATATATATATATATATATATATATATATATATATATATATATATATATATATATATATATATATATATATATATTAATTGATACATATTATTTATATATTTTAATATATATATATATTAATTTATATAAACATATAAATTTTATATTATATATTATATAACATATATTCACTGGAATGGCAAAAAATTGATTAAAAGTCTAAAACAAATGAGTTTTTAATAAATCTAAGCAATCTAATTTTAAAAGTCATCAGAACTAAAATAATAAAATTCCAATACTTTTGTAGGCTTTTATTTAATTTTGAAAAATGGTAAGTAAAACAAAGTTTTCTTAATTAAAAAGATTGTTTTGAATAAATTTTAAAAATGACAAAAAACGAAAATATACAAGTTTAGCAGATCAGTTTGATATAGGAAAATCAACAGTTGCAGATATATATATATATATATATATATATATATATATATATATATATATATATATATATATATATATATATATATATATATATATATATATATATATATATATATATATATATATATATATATATATATAAGATATAAGGAAAGAAATAACAATAGAATTTCTCTAAAGTCAGGAATGCCTCGAATTAAATCTGAAAGACTAGATAAAATTTTAATTCAGGCTGCGAAAAATGATCCACGTTAAAATGCTGTCTTGTTAAATGCTGAAATAAAAGAATTTTATAATGTAAAATGTAGTGTTGACACAACCAAGCTTCATTTGAGGTCTGCAAATCTATTTGAAATATATCCTGCAAAGAAACCTTTTATTTGTATAAAAAATTGAGCAAAAGAATAATGGCCAAAAGTACTTTTTAGTGATGAGTTTAAGTTTATGTTATTTGAATCTGATTGTATTAGATATGTTCATCGACTAAAAGGCCAAAGAAATGATCCTATACACCAGCTACCAACAGTAAAGCACGGAGGTGAAAATGCTATAGTCTAGTGTTGCCCCAATAAAGATTGTATCAGTCCTGATCAATACTATGACTTGTTCTTGGAACCACATCTGCAAAGTCGAAAATCTTTTAAACTATTATTTGTTTACAAAAATAAATGTTTTATAATATATATTTTTTAAATTGTTAAAATTTTGAAAGTTTATTATAAATTATAGATTTTATTAGTATATTCTTATTTTTTATTTAAAAAGTATGTATTTTTTATGTAAATGTAATTTTGTGTATCTGTTTTTTATTGTAATGTAATCTTTTAAAGCAATTTTTATGATTTAATTTGTAAACAAAAACTTAAAAAAATAATTGCGTTTTCAATGAAGTTATTATTAATCATCAAAGTTAATAAAACTAATTATGTAACAAACACATAAGAAGTTTCTGGTTACTAAACATAAACAATGCATACAAAGTAACTCACAGATGAACAAGCACCGCGCCTGAGGTCATGACAGAACACAAATATATATAGCAAGTTATTAGATATAAAGAAAAGTTTCTAGATATTGGTTTACTAACTCTAATTATTTTTGCTTCAGTTGCCATTCTTAAAAACTCGTTATACTTTTTTCTGCTTTAAATACTAATTAAATTTAAAAAGCCCATTCACTAAACATCATCAGCGATATTGTGAAGAAGTTTCGCTTCATCGTCATAAAGTATTTTAAACCTTTTTAGTTAATTTCTATCTAGTTAATTTAATTTCTATAGTAATTCAATGATTTAATTATTTCATTTGCTCATCTTACTATGAAGAATTCTTTCAAATATGTTAAACTTTTCAAACCACGCGAAGCATAAAATAGGTATTAAAAAAATTAACTTTTTTATTTATAAAATAATTTAGGTTAGATAAAATAAAACTTGTGTTAGTTTTATTAGAATCTTGTTAGACTTTTCGGGGCCGGGGGCTATTTTTATTTTGGATGCGTTTGTATGTGCTACAGCGTAAAAATGACTAAACAAAAAGGTCTTTTTGACTTTTTTGGGACCCTAACATTGTGGGGCCTGGGGTTATAGCCCCCTCTAACCCCAACCCTCCTTAAACTAGCACTGGAAATAAGACACGAGTATATAAATAAAAATTATATTAAACTCTTTGTTAAATAACAAACATTTATTTCCTTTTTAAAGAGTGAGATGTTACGTGAGATGTTACTTAAAACGTTGCCTAATTTTATAAAAAAATTATAAGAGAGCGACGTTTCGAAAATATTTGTTCTAAAAGTAATTTATTTTGCTTTAAGTTTTTTCGCGTTAAAAGGTATTTTATTTTCCTTTTTTTTTTTTTTTTTTTTTTTTTCTCTCATCAGTCCAATTAATCTTTAGCACATTTTTTTGCTTTTTGAAATGTTTTTAAAACGACTAAAAAATCTGGCTAATTTTTCGCAAATAAATATTATTTTCGTGGTCAGTAATCAAGAGCAATCGCTCCCTCTTCCTGACCAAGCCTGTTTATATATATCTCAGTAGTCCGGTTTAAAATTTGCTCAGCACAACTTAATTGAATCACTTTTAAATAGTACATTGAAAGTTTAAAAGCAAAAAAGAATATAAAGGGAATTTCTAAATTCTAAATTTTTTTTATGTAATTACTTACCATAGTTTTTATTTTTGCAAATAAAACATTACAATACATTTTTTTTTATTATTTTACTTTTCATTTAGGTTTTTTTTAATGGCGCAATTTAATATTTTATTATTAATTTGATATTAGTAATGTTTCTTTCAAATAATTTAAAGTGACATAATAAACTGAGGTAGAGGTAGCCGAAATGTAGAAACATTCATTAAGGTTTTTGGTTTTGCAACAGTCTATTATATTTATATGTTTTTTAAATTTTTTTAAACTTTTTTCTGTTTTTTCACCATTACAGGTGTTATGTAAAGTGTTTCTACATTTCGGCTACCTCTACCTCACCATTACAGGTGTTATGTGTTATGCATCATTTACAATGAACCTATTCTTGACTGCAAAGTTATTGGTAATAAGTATGTTGGAAAAAAAGTTACACCTTTCTTTATAAAATTCTCTTGGTGTGGGAACAGATGGTTGTAGTGTTATGTTGTCATTGCAAAAAAGGGCAAATGCATAAGGATGAAAGATGAAGAAGGAATCACATCACTACATACTGATCTTTCTGTTGTTTTAGATTTTTGTGACCAGTTGCAATATCCAATCACTCACAAGTTGTTTCAAATTATCAAGTCATGTCCTGTAAGTGTCGTCAGTGCTGAACGTTCCTTCTCAACCTTGCAAAAAATTAAAAATTGGCTGAGAACACGAATGACACAAAACAGACTAGTCGGATTGGCCTAATTTAATGTGCACAGAGAAATTTCAGTAAATGTTTAAAATTTGATTGTTTTGTGAAATCAGGAAATCATAAATTAGAATTTGTAATATAAGTTTTTTTAAAATAGTCAACAAATCAAGTATGCTTTTTTTTATAAAAGGCTGCAAATACTAAATACAAAATTTTTTTTTCAAATTATGTAAGAGGAGGGGGGGGGGGAGGGCAATTGCCCCCATCGCCCCCTCCCCTTTTCCCCATGAATCCGCCCTTGCAAAGAAACATGTTGAGCATGGTAATATCAAAGACATGCTGGGAATCAAACTCAGAACTTCTCCCTTATGAAGCAAGCACTCTACCACTAAACCAATACCTCATATATACTGCATATATATTCCATATGAAAGTTTATTTTATGGTTGATGGCTTTGTACACACTAAATATAAGAAGTATTTGTTAATAAAGATAACTATATCCACCATCAACAATAAAGGTTACCCATCAAAATATTAGCAATTGTTAATATTTTGATGTGTAACCTTTACATTAAAAGATTTAAGAGATCCTCTTGGGCATTAAGGCGTACAAATTTTAATACAATTCTGGAGTTACCTTTTATAACCAGACATACTCAATTACATCTTTAGGTCCATCAGTTGTTGCTTTTCCAAGTGCAACTCTGGCTTCACTATGTGCCACAGATTTTTAATAGCATTTAAATCTATAGAATTTAAAGGCCATACAAATGTTTTTATATTTTTGTTTTGCAATACCGTTTTGGCAGAATACACAGGATACACAGTTGGTCTTGTGTAGATTGGGTTGCAGAGGTTTTAATTATGAGATCTTTCAAAATATTGTTCTGCATATTGTGCTAATAGCTGAAGAGTAATCTGTCACTCCAAATCACAATAGACCTAAGTATTTTTATGTTGTTGAAGTCTCTTTTGAATGTTGTTTTTAGTCATTATTGATTTTTTGAAGCGTTTAACAGCTGGTAAATCAAGATTTTTTGTTATACACGACTTATAGTTGACCTAGAAAATTTTGTAGTACAGGAGTACTTTGTAGTAATACTTGTATTGACATGAATGGGTTTGCAGTCTTGCTTTTTTAGCAACAGAGTTGCTTTTTTTAAAAGTCAAGATATAGATGATTGAGATACTTCCAACTAAGTAGCTATAGCTTTATTAGATGTGCGAATCTTCTTATATGGTATATATATATATATATATATATATATATATATATATATATATATATATATATATATATACACTTACTAAAGCGTATTTTTATAAGTATTTGCTCACTTTTTTTGCTTACCTTAACACATACGGCTTTTTTAGAAAAAGAAAAAAAAACGAAGAATGATGAATGAAACAATTGCTGCCCCATCCCAAACCCTCAGTCGATGTACCAGCTTTTCACTGCAAGTCAGGCTATTTGTCAGTCGATGTATGTACTGAAGCCCCCAGCATATTTCAGTATGACATCAGATTGCTTACCTTAGTACGCAATACTATTTGTATATATATATATATATATGTATATATATGTATATATATAGACACACACACATATATATATAGACAATATATATATATATATATATATATATATATATATATATATATACACAATATATATATATATATATATATATATATATATATATATATATATATATATATATGTATATATATATATATATACATATATAGTATATAAATGTTTGTGTATTATTTTTTCTTATATTTTTTTTGTTAAACATTTGTCTTTTAGATTATTGGAACATTACCTGACATTATAGTGAAACTTGTTAAAAAAAAGAAAAATGTATGTGACTTTTAAATATTAGATTTATAATAAAAAATAATTTTCTGATAATTGCGTTTATTGTCCAATCTTTAATTTTTAAAGTCAAGTTCAATTTCAAAGTATTTTGTTTGAATTTCCAAACACATAACAGACAATATATTTTGTTGAAAAAAATATATAAGTATAAACAATATAAGTTTTTGAAGTTGCAAATGTTTAAAATAAGCAGCATTACAAATAAAAGCCGCCTACTGTAAACAATATATTTAAGAAACTGTACTACATTGTACTAAACTGTAGTACTGTATATTTAAGAAACTTTATTTATTTTTTAATTTTGTTCACCTCCCCAAAGCAGAGAGAGCCACTATAGTTGAAGAGACTACTTTATTAACTTGTACTATTAATTGTAACTCTCTCTTTATATACTTGTAACTATTAATTGTAACTCTCTCTCTCTCTCTTTACTCTCTAACTCCAAAGCACAAACCTTGAGGAGCAAGGCTACTGTGCAAAGTAACAAGTTGAGCACAGTACTACCAGTGATATGGTGGGGTCTGAACTGAACTGAAATTTTTGCTTATGAAGCGAACTCTCTACCAATACGCCACTTCTGCATAAAACTAAATACCATATAAACTGCATAAACTGTACTATATTTAAAAAACTGTACTATATTTAATAAAATGTGCAAAATTTAAAATATTAAATGCACATATATATACTAAAGAAAAATTTAAAAGCCTTAAAAAAAGAAGCCATTGTGAAAAGTTTTCCTACCACATTTAATGAAATTAAAATTTCATTGAATTTTCAGACAGTTCTTCAACAGCCAAACATCCCCTGATCAATATGCAGTCTCAATCTTAAATACATGATATAAAGTTTGTTATGTAATTTTTTTTTCACAATTTACAATTCATTGGATTATTTTTATTAACTTCATTTATTATTTTAATAAATGAAGTTAATAAAAATAAACAATTTAAAAAAAAAACATAAAAAATAGAAAAGTAAATAGAGCAGTTTTATGTGTCATTTTTATAACTATGTATTTTTATAACTTTATATTTGTATAACTTTATATTTTTATAACTATATATGCTTTATAATAGCAGGCATACAACTCACTAATTGCAAGCTAACGTGTTGACTGGTAAAATATCATATTGAAGTTTGTAAATTTTTATTTAAATTTTCACTATACTTATAAACATCAATAAAATGTGGACAATCATTCTAGTAATTCCAATAAATTGTTTGAACCAGTTACTCAACAATGCATATTAGGGATGCAGAGTCCCAAAAAGGACTCCGAATTAGAAGGTCACAAAAAGATTAATTCTTTCTATTTTTTGGTATCCAGAAGCTTTAAAAACATAAAAAAGCTTATGGGCTACTAATGGAGAAAAAATCAAGACTTATAGGTCAGAAGAACAATCAATTTTTGAACTTGGAGTCCTTAAATATAATGGCGGCTAGGACTATGGGACTCCAGGACTCTGGGTTAAAAAACAATTAATTTTATGAGTTGCAATCATAAAATATCATGAATTTTTTTCTTATAGTAGATCATTAATCAACCAACATGCTTAGAGCTTCTGGACACCAGAGACCATGAAAAAACAAAGTTATAAAGCTGGAATTCTTTTGAGACTCCGCATCCCTGATGCATATATTAGGAGTGGGAATTTTTCACATTTTTTTCTCATAATCAATTTATAATCAATTCCTTAATACTAAAATAATCAGTTCCTCAATACTATAGGCAAAGAAATGTGAAAACTATTTTAAAACTAATTTTAACTATAGCTGGTTTAAAAACACTCTGCTAAACTTGCAATTTATGATACTGAAAGATACTGAAAATGTTTAAATTAGACGCTATTTAATGGGTAATATTCATAAAATGGTAATATTGTTAAAGTACAAATACTAAATTTTAAAAGATATAAGATTTGAAAAAAAAAATGAGGTAAAAATAAAAATAAAATAATGAGGTAAAAAAAAACAAATAAAAATATAGTACAAGTTAAAAAAAAAAAAAAAATGTCAAAAAAAATAATAAAAAACTACAGATTATTCTACCAGTAAAAATTAATCTTATTAAAAGAAAGGGAAAATTTTTTTTTTATTTTTCATTAATTTAGTACGTTGTTTATACTGTGCATTTTTGTTTATTGTTTATATGTCGTGAATTTTTGTGTATAAATAATTTTAAGTATATATATTTTTACATTTTTCTCTGTCAATTGAGTTTATATTTTTGTTCGTGTAATGTTTGTTGTTATTTGTCTTGTTGCTATTTATATATGTTGTTGTTCACTTGTTTAATTAATATATGTAATATATAACATAGAGTTATTAATATATTGTGCATCATTTCAAATATCACTGTTTTTTTCTAAATATTTAAGGAAATATCTTATAGCTATTTCAATCAATGATAAAGAAATGTTTTTATAAATTATCGCTTTTCTTTTTTTTTTTTTTTTGTAAGAGTTAACTTTTTCTATAATCACTTAAATTTCTTTATGAACTAACAAGCATCTTATATAATGTTGCTGAACTTAATAATAGTTTCTGCTCATGTGTGTTTAACACAAAGCTAAAGGCAGCCATAAAACTTGAGTTAATGGCGAAAAAGAGTCTCTCAACACTTTTTTATATGGAGTTATAAAAAATTTATGTAAATATGTAACTTATGTAAATTGATATCAGTATGTCATTTATATTTAATGTAAAAATTCCATTTGTATTATTATGTGACAAAAATTGTAAAAAGTCTTTTTTCCTTAAACTTTTTTATTTTGTTTTTTTTTTTGCATTGAGATTAGTGCACTACTAATCACTGAGCTACTGAAGATAGCATTGAGATCAGTGCATTAATAATCACTAAGCTACTGAAGATAGCATTGAGATCAGTGCACTACTAATCACTAAGCTACTGAAGATAGCATTGAGATCAGTGCACTACTAACCAATAAGCTACTGAAGATAGCATTGAGATCAGTGCACTACTAATCACTAAGCTACTAATGGTGTATGTTGTTTATGAATAAAAACCATTTTATAGATTGATTGTAATGATTCAAGTGAGTACTCTATATAATCGCAACTATAATGCATAGCAGCATTACATAGAAACTTATAAAAGAAATATTTGAAAACCACAATATTTTCTCAAAAATGAAAAAATGCAAGTATAAAAATTACATTTAAATAAATTACAATTAAATAGATTTTTGTTATTAATAGAGATGTAATATGCAAACTTAAAAAACAATATGTAATATTCAAATGTCAAAAATCCACTTGTATAATGTTATGTACAAACCTCTGAAACTGTGAACGTCAGTACTACTAACAGTAGTTAAGTGACATGTGTCACCCAGTTGTCAACTATGCTAGAGATACTCATGTTATGTGTTTACATAAATGTGTTAAAGTAGACAATCATAAATTCTTTTTCTTTTGAAATAAATAAACAGGGTAAAGATTCTAATAACCATCAAGCATGCAGAATAAGTGTGCATATTAATTTTTGTTTTGCTCTAAGAGCAACTTTTATTTTTTTACCATATTATTTTTCTACCGTTTATTAAATAATATTAAGGTAAACAAGAAATGGTCAATTGTGTAATAGATTTACCAAATTTCTTTAATTGGATTTATTTTTAAAATTGTTTCTAATTTCACATTTTTATTAGTATAAAAACATAATTTTGTAGAATTTTAACAATAAACGATATTTGTTTAAAATTTTTTGAATTTCTAAAGAAAAATTGTTTTCATACCATTTTCAGGATTTCAATAATGTGAAACACTTTTGATGCTATTTTTAAAATTTCAAAAGTAAAAAATTATTTTAGTTCTATTTTCAGAAATTTTTTAATTAAAAATTCTAATATTGCTTACATGAACAACTTAGGGATCGTCCATAAATTATGTAACGCAAAAATTCACAATAAACAAAACAAAAAAAGATCAAAAGTTTTCCCTCGCAGAGTCTCATTTAAATAAATAATAAAATAGGAAATGAAAATCGTCGCGTAAAAGAGCTTATTATCACCTACTTCTATTCTTAAAATATTTTTTGTGTTGCGTATTTTATGGACGATCCCTTAATAAGCCAATGGAAAATACAGTAGAACTTTAATAGAAAAAAGACAATGGAAAAGACAATAGACAATAAAAAATTAGGACAATGGTAAGTAGAATTTTAATAGAAAATAAAACCTTGGAATATGCAAAAAATTAAAAAATGGAAATCAAAAAAACTTCCTCAGAAAATTAGGTTTAAAATATAAAATTAAAAGTTAAGAATTAAAAAAAAATGTTGTTAGGTAAATATTACTAATACAAAATTGAAATAAAAAATGTTGAGTAAAATACAAAATTCAGTTTCAAGTACAATTCTGTAAACACTAGTGTGTTACGTTTGTACTTATGACTTGTTAAATGAGCTTATATATGTTTATTTTATATACATAACAGTTTTTTCATGGATTAAATTTTTTTACAGTTGTCGTGGAGACTATTGAAAAGTCAACTCAAAATAATGGAGGCTTTGATAAAAAGTTTAGGACTAAATACATCTGGGTTTGTATTTCAATAATATCTTTCGTTTTTATGTCTTACTTTTTGTTTCTTTACTGCTTTTTAATTCGATCACAAGCAAACAATTGGTTTTTGTAATATTATCATAATTTTTTCTAAAGATTTTAAATAAAAATTTTAAGTATAGTTTAAGGCAGAAAAGGTTCATTACAAATATTTTTTAGAGTAAAATATTTATATTTTCAGAGGTTTTTCAACTGAACAAGTGATGAGTATACTTACAGTCAGTCTAGAACATCCTAACAATGAAGTTAGAGAAGCAAGTTTGAGCTGCTTTTTTGAAGCATACCATTATGTAAGTTGTATTTACTTTTATTAATGTTATTTTTATCATGCTTATTCTTGTTGTTTTGATTGGCTACTAAGGTTAAATTATTTTTGTAGCTTTCTGAATTTGTATAGTGTACTTTTTTAGGTCAAAGATATAAGATCTTATTTACCTCCGGATAATCCGAGCTCACGAAAAAATCCTTTGTACAATAAAATTTTTGATATGCTCGAAAAGGCCGATGAAAGTCTTGAAATGAAACAGGTTTTTCTTTTTTTTTAATTTTTTATTTCAAAAGTTTTGGTATCATTCTTTTAATATTTATGTAATGTTTTGTTTATTTTCGATTAAGGCTTTTAAATTATGTGAACTTTTTTTCCTGTTTTCATATAACATTTTTTAAATATTTATGTAACTTATTTTACATTTTTAAATGACCTTATTTTAATGTGCAGCAACATATAACACATAACACAATAACATGGGACACATAAAACAACATACAACAACACTTAACATATGATACAATAGTTCAACATCATACAACAACATGCAACACATAATAAAACAAAAAAACATATCATACAACAACGTGCAACACGTAATACAACAACAAAACACATTATAAAACAGCATGCAATCCATAATACAACAACAAAACATATCATACAACAACATGCAACTCATGGTTTAGCTACAAAGTATTTCTTAACATTTTTAAATACTTGTAAATAGAAGTTCTTTTGTGAACTTCTATTTACCGTTTAACATTTAAATAACAATTATCAAAAGTTTAGTTAACGTTCACTGCAAATGCTCTTTTGATAGCTCTTGAATATTCACCTCAAACACGTAATAACGAACACGAAAGTTTACCCAACGTTTTTATTTTATTTTAGTTTTTTAACTAAACATAATTTTTCAACTTAATGTATAGGTTTAGAAAGACTTTCTGTTTAAACCTACATTTGCTAGTTTTTGTGTAATGTAATGCTTTTTTGAACTTACATAACCCTTGTGTAATGTAATGAACTTACATAACCCTTGTGTAATATAATGAACTTACATAACTCTTATTTATTTAACAATTGTTAAATCAGTACTTAAGTATAAACTTATTTGTACTTAAGTACAAATTAATCATGTTTTACAACTAAATTACACCATATTAAGCTTATTTGAGAGCATATAATTTAATGATTATATTTTAACCATAAGGCACGCAACATTTTTTTTACACTACACCAAGGCAAATTTTTTTGGTATAGAATTTAAACAATGAGCTAATCAGCACTATAATAATTATTATTATCTGTGATAATAACTTTGTTTCATATAAGTATTGGTAATTATAATTATGAACTCAATATATAACTTGATTTGCTCTGTAAACTTTAGTTCTGGTTAGTTCCTTTTTATATTTCATACCAAAATATTTTCTTAATTCGCATGAAGGAAGTATTTTTAAGTTTGCAGTAAGTTGAAAATTCGTATTTAAGGTTCATATTAAATTAGAAATTTTGTCTAAAAAGTTAAAATATTTTATTTTTAAATATTTCTCAATTATGCCTATAATTGAACCTATGATACTAATAACAGTTGACTATTTTTTTTTGTTTATATGTTAGATTTTTTTAATTATTTTAAAGTTGTAAATATTGCATTGGTAATAAGACGCCATCTATATTTTTCAAATGGTTTATTCTATTATTACAGGCTCATAGCCAATCTACAAGGTTATCACAAAGAGCAGGATAAAGTGTTCAAATAAAATTTTCATAGAAAATATCATTTTATATACTCTGCAATCTGTTGATCGTTTCTTAAGTTTTTATTTTACACAATGGCTTTAAATAAACCAAAAAAGTAATTATAGTGATTGTTTAAAATAAATATATTTTTTGTAAATTAACACATGTTATATTAAAGTTTTTTTCTATGTAGTTTTACGATAAATTTACGTATAATAAGTTGTTTAAAACTTTTTATGTCTTTCTAAAAATCTTTTGAAAGATATTTTTTAAGTTACTTTTAATTTTGAATAAGTTGAATGAAATCTTCCATTTAGTATGATTTAATTGTTTTATTTTTTTGTTTCTATTTTTACAAAGTATTATTTACACTTTTTTTTTAACTTGACTAACTAATCAGAGCATGAAATGATTAATTTTAAATAGACTACAGTATTTTTTTAAACAATTTTTATTTATTTTTTTTGCAACTTTTTGAAAAAAATGTTATATACAATTTAAAAATAATATATAACACATTTTAGTTATTTAAATAAAATTTGTTCATTTATTAAACAATCATTAGAAGTAATTTGTAAAAGCGTTTTGTGTAACTTTAAATAAACGTTTCAAAAGAAAAAATTTTGAGGTAATTTATATATATATATATATATATATATATATATATATATATATATATATATATATATATATATATATATACATATATATATTAGGGCAGGCCACAGTCCCACATACATTTTTTTAACACTCAGTTTTACTAGTGGCTGCATAAAATATTGTTCCTTTTAATATAAAAATAATTTTTTGCTATGAAAGTGTTTGTGTAGCTCATTTCTAAGTTCTGATGAATTTCATTTTTAATTTGAGTCCAAAACACAAAACTTTCATTACATATGTTGCGTTTTTCAATTTGTTTGGTATAATACTTATTAATAATGGTGTATTTCTGTCGTTTTTTATGTAAACAAATGTAAAAAAATGCAGAAAGCATATAAAAATGTAAACAACACCAGCGTACAATATTTTTAATTGTCTAAGCTTATATTTATTTTTTATATTTATTTATATTATTCTTGTATTTTAATTTAAATATCTTCTTTTTTTAAATATTTATTTAACATAAATACGGCAAGATTGAAATAAAAACAATAATTTACAACTTGAGATCTAGTAAGAATGTATCAAGATAATAATAAAAATAATGTAGAGGAAACTCATACATAAACAAATTTATTTTGCAATCCAATGAATTTCCAATGCAATTAGAATTTTAATGATGTGCTTAAAATGCTAAGTAAGACCAATATTATTCTTATCATATGCCTAATTTTCAACAAACCTTATTTGTTAACCTACTCTTACCTACTTAATTAAAAACAGGGAGAGGTTTAAATAGTTAGGGAGAATAAATAAAATGAATTCTATAAAGTCAGTTGTAAATATATTTATTTTCTATTTATGCAAACACATTAAAAATGTTTGAAAATGCGTTGTTAATAACTTGTTAATATAATTTGAAATTACAATATTTAGTACATAAAAAATTCCTAAAAAATAGTATATTTAGTGATTAAAAAATATATAGGAAAATAAAAAAGATTACTTCAAAAAGGTTATAATACTCTGAAAATATGTCTGGTCTATGGGGTGTGCAAGTTTGTAAAGATTGTGGGAGGAGGGAAATGGTTAATAGATCAGATATGGGAATGGAGGCTGTTTTTTATTTAATTTTTTGTATTCAATTTTTATTATAAGCACACTTTAGTTTTGTATTCTGTTCACTCGAAAGAACAGGAATACAAATGTTTCTACTAAATAATGTTTACAGTGAGAATTCCACAAATTTTTGGTGGTGATGAGATTTGATTTTTTTTTTTTGGTATTACAATTAAAAAAATTGTTACTATTGTTTAAAAGTGGTACACAATGTTAGGCATGATGATGGCAGGGGCGGCGTATTGGACAGTTTATCCCGAGTGGCAAATGTCTAAGAGGCACCAAAGAAAAAACAGATGCCTAAAAAAAAGGTCTTTCAATGATAATATTGAAGTATTTTGAAAAATATGGGCTCCAATCAGGGTTGCCCGTCCCAAGCAGCGTAAAGCCTCTTGGTGCCCCTGATGACAGGATAAAGAAATTTGTATTTTAAACAAATAACTAAAAGTTGTTATTAAACATATTGTTTGTATCGTTTTCTTCATTTATGCATTCCTAAAAATTAACACTGGGGGCGCGTGCCCCCCCCCCCCTACTTTTTTTCTAAAGGACCTTTTTATTAAAGAAAAGAAAGTTCTACATATAGAAGACTTTTTTTAGAATTTTATGAGCCCTCCTTCGAAACCCGTGTCGTCAGCCCTGATTGTAACTAGAGAAATAAGTAGGAAAAATGATTTGTTAAAATTCAGTTTCAGATAAAAATTTGACATTCAATCTATAAAAGTTCTTGCAATGAAAATTTATGAAAACTCTTTTTGGACTTGGATGCCATCATCATATTTTAGAGTTAGTTATTTTGGAGAATATTATTTCAAAATGATACAACAACTGATACTTTATAGATTTTAAAACTATTAAATTCAAGCAGCCAAGACACAGTGGTAGCACGCTTACCTCAAATGCAAGGGTTCCGTGGTTCAAACCCACCTTTGAGCAAGTTTTGCGACATGGAATATGAAAGAGGCATAAAATTCATGTTAAAAATCTTCACCGGTGCTCTTTGATAAGACCGTAAAGTTTTTAAAGTGGTTGGAAATCACAAAAAAAATTATAATTAGAAGCAATTGTTTACTGATTTACCACAATGCGAATAATAACTGCTTTTATAACCCCTTTTAAATGATATAATGCCTTGATTACATAACATTTATTTTATTTGGAAAAAAAACTACTTAGGGACTATTCAAATAATGTGTGACAGTCTTATGGGGAGGGTTTTTGAAAGTTTTAACAAATATTACATGGGAAGGATGGTTAGCTACAGGCTGACGTGACAAAAAAACTTTTAATTTCAATTCTTATTATAGCGGAAATAATAAAATTTTAACAAAATAAGAACAAACTCGGAGATATATTTTATTTAAAAATAATAGCACGGCACATACAAGATTAGGGAAGGGGGGGGAGAGGAAATTGATGAACATGTCACAAAATGTTACATGGGGGAATTCTAAAAATACTCAAAAACGCGTTGCTTATTATTTAAACAGCCTCTAATGACAAATTTCTGCTATAAATATACAAATCCTAATTGTTTTCACTTTAATACAAATACCTATTTTGACATATTTTAGGCCAATAATCAAATAAAATTCGGCAGCACTTAATAATGTTTTTTTCCATTTTTTTTTTAACAGTTTGTTTTTATATGTGAAAAAGATCATATTTTTTTACAAACGTGAAATTTTCAAAATACTTTTTAGCCTATCCTAATATATATATATATATATATATATATATATATATATATATATATATATATATATATATATATATATATATATATATATATATATATATATAATGATAATAATAGGTTATTTTGTTTTATTTATTTCATTTGTTTTAAATTTCTTTGTTTTTTTAATCTCTGTTTATTTTCTTGTCCTTGTTCTTTTAAGTTTGTATTGTTTACCCGGTCGCTTTTCTCATTTTAACCAGGTTATATGAGTGTTAATCTTTCAGTTGTTTCAGTTGTACTATTTAAGAACCAGTACTTGATGTTTTCTTATTAATTGTTGTTCTTGTTATTAATATATTGTTGTTGCTGTTGTTCTTGTTGATTGTTATTTGTACTTAAATTAGGCAATTTATTAATATCTTATTAAGGTCTTAATATCTGACTAAAGAAAACAAATTTGAGCAGCAACATAGGTTCAATTAGGTAGCATTGCTTATTTTAAGTTAAATATTCAAAAGATATGTTTCAATTTTCTAGATAAAACATATAATTTAATAGTATTATTAATGTATAATTTAGTAGTATTTAGTAGTTTAACATGTATTTAAATTATGCACATATTAAATACCTATGTAATTTATATACATATTGTACATAATTTATATATATATATATTAAACTATAAACATGACTATTATTCATACTTGTTGATTACTTGACTCTGACAACTACATATAATTTATTATTGTCAGATTCGACTAGTCCACTTGGATAAATATGATTGTTTTATAAATCATACCCAACCCTTGGAATGAGGTCGGCAATTTATTGCCGACTTCAAACTTTTAAAGGTTGGCAAAAAAAATTTGATTCAAAGGGGTTACCATAAAGCATAGAAACGATGTCGGCAATTTTTTGCCGACGTCAAACACTTTTAGGTTAGCAATTAGGTCGGCATTGCCGAATACTGACCCTAATTCCGAGGGTTGCATACCAGAGTGTTAGTTATTAATATGTTTATTTATTCTAAAATGTATAAGCTTTTGAGGTGTCTATTTTAGTGGTTCATATATAGAACTGTTTTTATATAAAATTGACAGTTATAACAGTTTAAGTCTTTTTTAAATGGCTCATTTAAGTTATTCATTAATAAAATTAGCTTGTTTATCAAAACCACAAAGAACTTTTGTTCTTAACTAAAAAATTAAATTTAAGTTTTTAATAAGAAAATTTTTAATAAAAAAAAAAGAATTTTATTTTTAATGAAGTATTGTAAATTGGGTTATTTTTAAAAAGGCATGTGGTTATTTTTATGTTTTTAGTAGTAAAAGCTATGCTTTTTTACTGAAATAACACAAATTTATTTTTTATATTGTTGAAGTTGTTTTGTAAGCAAATTTACCTTAAATTGATGTAAATTGTTTTGAGTGCCCTTTTAAGTACTTACTGGTAATAATAAATAAACTTTTTGATTGCAAGAATTATTTTTTATTATGAATTTTTGTTAGTTGTAATCAGCTCAGCCAATAGTGTGCCTTATGGTTTAAGTGTAATAAATAAACCATGGACTCTCAAATAAACTTAATATGGTGTAATTCAGTTGTAAAAAATAATGAATTCGTACTTAAGTACCAATAAATTTTTTTTATTGTTAAAAAGTATTTATTTAACAACTATCTAATAAATAAGGGTTATGTAAGTTCAAAAAAGCATTACATTAAATAATGTAAAAACTAGTCAATGTAGGTTTATACAGAAAGTCCATCTAAACCTATACATTTTATATGTTGTGGCAATGTTTTTTGAAAGTTAATTGTCAGCTAGGTTAATATTCAAATTATAATTGTAGACAAGATTTCAAGCAAAACACATTCAATCAAAAGATTTTCAATTGGAAACCATTGATACTGCTAATAAAAATAAATCAAATGTCATTCTACCTAGCAATTGTATGGTTAGTGTTTTAACTATGGTTCAATTGTGAATGCAGTTATAAATCTACTTTAACTATTAAATTTTTGTTTAGAATGTTAAGGTTTTGACGAAGGAAGCTATTTCGCAATGCTCAGGAGCTGTTAAAGCCTTAAGTATAGGTTGAAATCATTGAACTTTAGCTATTATTTTTTATAAACATTGATTTTGTTTTTTTTAATTTACAATCTACACAATGTGACAAAAAAAAAAAAGTTATTAATATTATTATCATTATTATTATCGTTATTATTATTATTATTATTAATAAGCTTCCAGTGAAAGTAATAAATTAAATTTTACGCAACTTGTATTACAAGAATAAAACGTCAAAATTTTTATAGATCAAGAAATTAAAATAAAAGAGTAATAAACTTATTTGTGTATTTATTTTAATTGTGTAAATGTTTTTTGTGTACACAAGATCTTTGCATTTAACATCAAATTATAATCTATTAATCAAATATAATTAATAGAGTATAGAAGGTAGTGAATGCATCTACAAAAATTCTGGTATAAGTAACTACTATTTGTGTATTGCTAACTCATTCTTTGTGTTGTTTTTTATGATGATAAGAAAACTGCACACTTAATTTTTGTTGTTTTTATGAGGATAAGAAAACTGTACACTTACTTTATTTAAATAATCTATAATGGTTAAATAGTAAAGTTTTGATAGTTTCAGATACACCAATATAAATTAAAAATTTATTGCTTCTACTTTTTACAGGACTTGAAGATGAATATATTAGCAAGTAAGTTTTTTAAAATTTTGAATTATATTATTTGTATATAATATTTATTTTATTTTTATGGTTTTCAATGTTTGAAAAATTTAGTTGCTGTATTAAAAATATATATTCATGTTTATAATATGTAGCAAAAATATGGTATTGTAAGCAAATAATATGCACAACTACATTATGAACTCTAATTTGAAATATATTCTGATGTTACTGTAGATGCTATATCAGTATGCAAGGGCTGTTCTAGACTACAAGGCTCAACATGTTTTAGGGCTGGTTCTAATTCACAAATTGGGAAGTTCTAAAATAAACTACTTGAAATATTTTGTAATAGTATGCACTAAATAACTTTGCACTATTTAAATGAATATTTTCCATTAGATATATATACAACTATTATCTCAAATCAAATGTGTATATAATATTTAAAGAAATTTTATTATTAATATAAAATATTATTTTTTATTGTTTCTAAAGTTACAAAATATTATCAATAATTGAATTAGTATTTTTTTTTAAATAGCGCATTTGCTTAAAACTTCTTGAGCAAATCTGCCCTTTTAAAAAACACTGATTTAATTAATAATAAACTTTTGGTGAAAATAAAAAATTAAACTTGCAATTTGTACTACAAGAATAACACATTAAAATTTTTTAGATCAAAAAGTTCAAATGAAAGGTTAAAACATTTGCTTTGTTAGTTTTAACAATATGAAAGCATTTATATACCAAACAAGTTGCCACATATATATCTTAAACAAGTGGCAACTGTTTCACAGTTACAGTTGTGCACAAGTTCATTTTAAGTTCGTTTTAATTTTTAAATTCAACATAAAAAATCATGACAATAATTACTACTAATGCAAAATATAATTTTAAAATCACACATTTGCAACAGACTTATACAATACAATAAAAAAAAACGAATACAATAAAAAAAGTATATTTTCTTGTACAGAAATAAATAACAGTACTAAATAACCATTTGTTTCAGTAATAAATGATTAGTTAATTTAATGACAAGTTATTTCAGTATTTTATTATCTTGTTAGCTAAAACAAAAATAAAATATTTTTGTTTTAGAACATTTTAAGTTAAATAGTGGAGTATTTAATCAAAGAAGTCAATCAAAATTATTTTATTAAAGTTACCGCCATAACAAAAGTTTCTATAAAGTTACTGCAAAATATTTTTTTTTAATTAAGTTAAATACTTTAAAAATGCATTTTTTTTAAGAAGTTTATTTATAAATATCAAAAGTATAGTTATAAATATAAAAATATATATTTCATTAAAGTGAAATATTTCAATAAAAAATTTTTAATAAATTGAAATGTTTCAAAAAAGCTTCATGTTGATGATTGTTCTAGGCAATACATTTTCAGAATGGGCACCAGTGTCTAGTGGTGTTATCCAAGAATCTGAGCTTGGACCAACTCTATTTGCCATATTCATATACAACCTTCCAGACGGCATTTTGCAAACATTTTTGCAGGTGTTTGCAGGTGACACTAAACTAATAACACCAATTTGGCCAGAAAACGAAGAGCTTGACACTAAAAGATGAAATGAAAGAAAGCTCTCAACAAGATAACTGATTGGTGCAGGAGGGTGGGGGTTGTCACTCGCCAAGAAGAAGTCTAAAAAGGTCTTTTTAAATAAAAAAAACGTCCGCATATTTTCATTTATAAGTAACTTTCTTTTTTAATTTTTTATACTTTAGTGTAATAATCAAGTTCATATACGTATAACTATGTATAATAGTCATTTTCATTTGTCAGTATAGTAGTCCAATTTTGTATAATTGTCAATTTACAAAAGAATACTTCTGAAAAAAAGTTCTATGGAGGGGGCTACCCCCATGGCCTCCCCTAAAATCCGCCACTGAATTGGTGCAACACTTGGTAAAAACAACTAAGTATTAGCAAATTAAAAGTGATGCACATTGGACAAGCAAAACATCAGCAGTATACACTATGCTGGTTCCACTATTGGACACAAAACAAGACCTAACAGCAATGACAATAGAAATAGAGCTAAGAGTCATAATATCATCTTAAACTACAAAAACAAGTAAATAAAGTTGAGTGCAAATAAAATTCTCGGTCTAATAAAAAAAACTTTTATATCGCGATAGCCAACATTATGAAAGAAACTCTATACAGCATATAGCAAACCAAAAACAGACTTAAAAAAGTTTTGCGACGAGCCTCCAAAAAAAGGACACACAATGAGACAACAGCTATGATGAAAGGCTAATCAAACTCAACCTAACTGTGGTCTAACTGTGCCCTGTCTAACTGTGGTCTAACTGTGCGCTGTCTAACTGTGGTCTAACTGTGCGCTGACAAAGAGGCGACCTTATTCAAGAATTCATAATTATAAAAAAAATCAACAAAGTGAAATGGTGTGTGCCAACAGTTACTAAAGAGCCAAGAACTGATAATAAAGGACAACTTAGCGAAGAAATGGTCTGTAACAGCACACTACGAAGCAATTTCTTCACTAACAGAATCGTGAACTGTTGGAACTAGCTATCCAACAATACTATGAACGCAGAAACAGTCACCATATTCAAAAATCAGCTGGACAACCACTGTGGCATAGTTGTTACAGTGGCTTATCAACGGGATGGGCTACTTCGTCTGAGCTCACAGTGCAACTTATTATAACTAACTATTATGTCATCATTTAATTTAAGATAAAGATCTAAAAGATATTTATATGTAAATCTATCAAAATGAATAAATTTGTATAATATATGAGAAAGTTAAATTATATATTCAGTTTTTTTGTGTGTTTAAATATATTTTTTAAGTTATGCATTTAGAATGTGCGTATTTTGTGGAAATAGTGAAAATGATTTAGATATTCATTATTGGAAAAGTTGTTTTATGTTAAAGCCATGCGATATCTGTTGTCAGGTTGTGGTTATTTTGTCAATCTTTTTATTTATTTTAAATATATGTTAAAAACAACTTTTTTGTTAAAAATAATTATGAACATATGTAGGTGGTTGAAATTTGTGGAATGAACAAGCATCTAGTTGAAGCTTGTGAAGATAAAAAAAACTATCAAACCTGTGGCAAATGTCATCTCAGTGTTAAGTGCACAGATTTTCGTCAACATCTAGAGCAATGCAAAGGTTTTTCTTTTGTCGTAATAATAATAACATTGTAAAGTTTTATATTTTATTGTTTTTTTTTTTACTTTTTTATTATGCATTTAGATTTGCTAAAAAGTGATCAAGTCGTATGTCCTCTTTGCTTTTGTGTTGTCATTGATAATGAGCAGGTATGAATAGTATGCTTTGAGTATCTGTATTGGTTAAAAATAAAGCTCTAATTACATTTATATTAATAAAATATTTATTTTAATCGACACCAGTAATAATACGCCAGTATATATCTGTGTGTGTGTGTTATAAAAGCCGTCAACAACTACGGCCATGAAGATGTGGTCTTTTTACTTGTCAAAAATGGGCTTAATTTTTTCATAGAAATTATTAATGAATCCAACACCCATTGCTCAAAAAGACACAAAATTTTAGACTATGTTTAGTAGAAAAAACGTAAATTTTTGTCATTGCAAAAAAATTATTGATGTTACTGTAGAATAACTCTAATGAAAGTAGTGCAATGATGAAAAAATAAATTTATATCTTCTGCATAATGATGTTATTTCCTTTATCATTGATACTTAAATAATCTCTTAATCGTTAATGTTTTATCTCTTAAATTATGTCTTAATCGTTAATATATCATCCCTTAAATTATCTCTTAATCATTAATATTTTATCTCTTAAACTAATAATATTTTATCTCTTAAATTATCTCTTAATCGTTAATAGTTTATCTATTAAATTATCTCTTAATCGTTAATAGTTTATCTCTTAATCGTTAATAGTTTATCTATTAAATTTAACTAGTTCCCATGAACCATAAAAGTTAATTAGCCTCCAAGAACCATTGCAATTAATTAGTTCCTCTGAACCATTAAAGTTAATTAATTCCCATGAACTATTAATTAAATTTATTTTTTTATGTTTGTTTAATAGTTGTATTAGATTTAGTCTATGAAATGCGCTTATATAGTTAATAGAAATATAAGTTTATAAATTTTAATTTTTACTAATGGTTAACTACGATTTTATATTTATCATGCGTAAAAAAGTAGTCGATAATTGTTTTAATTATTTTGGTTTGGACTTTATTTAATAGTTTTTTTTTTAATTAAAAGGTTATCATCCATCGTTTTGATGGGTTTTGATTCAGCAAATATTTTATTTTAGTTTCTTAAAATTTTTTTGTACTGTGTGTAGAATTGGATTGAACATTTGAAGAACTTATGTCCTCCAAATATATTTCGTTTGAAGGTTGCAAAGTGTATGTTTGTTTTAAATATGTTTACATGGCAAAATTGTTTATCTATTATTTTACGTTTTGAACAAATTTTTTCTAGAATTTTTTTTTCTAATAGTTATCTAACAATTATTTGAGTTTTTTAAAATAGTTTGTGCACAAATAATACGTTTTTATCGGTTCATGAAGCGATCTATCTAGCAGCCTAAAGTTATGGCTACAATTTGAGGGGAAATATAAAAACTTTTTAATAGTATTAGCAAATTTAAAGAAATTTATTTAACTAATGACTAATGACTAAACATTATACGCAGTTAGAATATAACACTCACGCATCAAATTGAACTTTAGTTAATCATGTGAAATACCTTGATCAATCATTCATTCAAGTTCATTCAGATAAATAAAAAAAAATAATTAACTACTTAATGAATTAAATACACGTAAAACAATAAATATTGCATATAATGCTGTAAACGAAATTTTTTTTGTAACTCAAATTCTGTAAAAAAATGTAGGTTAGACCGGGGCGATTTCGCCACTTTTGCTGCTTTAATGTTGTCTGTTCAACCTGATACGCTTTTTTCGTATACCATTAACTGAATTATATTGAATAAACTGTTTCGTTCGACCACATTTAAAAATTCAAAAAAAAAAAATTATTTATATTCATAAACATCGGTTTGTATTACATACTTATATGGGGCGATTTCGCCAATTTAAAAAGAGTTAAAGCTTTATTATATTTTGTCGAATTTAGCATATTCTGTGCACATGTCGATACAAAAGCAGACTTCGCACGCCCATATATGAAAAGAAACACATTGGAGCTAGTCTTCTGATGAATCCACCCATGCCACACTGAACACAAAGTAGTGAGTTGTTTATTGCTGTTTCTGTTATAAGCTTTTGATGTACTCGGTAGCATTTCTGCTACCGAGTACATCAAAAGTTTATAACTTGTAAAAATGCCACTTGAAGCAAGAGTGACACAATAATATCAATTAGTAACATTAAACAGCAAATTCTATTTAAAACTAATCACAACCAATCAAATTAGGCGGCAACTATAATCAATCAATAATTATAAGGCTATAATTTTAAAATAATAGATATTTTACATCATCTTAATATGATGTTATGCTAAAATAACACCTTTTTCTTGAAATATTAAAAGTGGCGAAATCGCCCCGGTCTACCCTAGAAAATTACCCCATCTTTGGCGAGATGTGATACGAGGCCACAATGATTTAAACATAATTTAGGTTAAAAACAGAATTAAAAGCTATTTTAATTCTGTTTATATGGAGTAAAAAACAAGTTACTGTTCATTATACTATCGTATAGATCGAAAGCTTTTGGATTTAATCTTTTTGTCAACAGCACTTGGGTTCCTTTTTTTTTTCTTGGTTTCTTTTGTTTGATTTTAATTTTTTTTTTTGCACATTAAACCGTTATGTAAGGTATTTATATTGAGTTGAGGGAGCGAATATGTCTTAATTAACATTTTACATTGGACCTATTAATCTTTATCTGATTTTTAAAGAAGATAATGTACTACACTTGTAAATTGTGTGATAATGTACTACACCTGTAAATTGTGTTAAGTTTTTATTAACTTCGATATTTGTATTGTATTTCACTAAAAAACAATATTTTTTAAAACTAATTTTTATTTTATTATTTTTAATGAGTAAAGAAATAGTTACAAAATTATTAAACAGGGGGGAGGGACATTTATTTTGCATCTTATATGCAAAAAAAAAACAACTAATAAATGATTTTTTACTTTTTAGGCAACCTTTTATTAGTAAAAATTAACTTAAATTAGCATAATGACCTGATAATGGCCCCAAATATTGGCCAAATACAAATTAATAAAAATTTATTATTATTTTTTGTTTTAAGTTATTGATTTAAATATATTTAAAAATCATTAACTAAAATTCTCAATATAAAAAATCAAAAATTTCGTATCTTAATAAACACAAAATCGTCATTAGTTTTTTTTAGTTATTGGTTTCAAATGCTTATTGTACCCCCATTCTTCTTTTTATACATTTAAAAAGTAACAAACAGCCATACGGAACTTTTAAGGGACACATGCAAATCTTAGCTTAGTTAACGTTATTAAAAGATAATATTAAAGAAAGGGTGAGCGTTTTATATACTTCGTTTTGCAGAGCCAGGGTTAAAAATATTTTTTTCTTAAGTCCTTTTAGCTTTAAGATTTTTTCTTTGACTCATTGGCCTCGTCTCTTGTCTTCTGCAAGATAATTTTATAACGTTTTAAGTTTCACCTTCTTTAGTTTCCCGATTTGAGAGTAGATATAAAAAAATAAATATAAAAAGCTTCAAGATTATTTAATCTTGAAGGTTTTTTCTTGAAGCAATATCTTATCTCAAATCAGCGCACTAAATAAACAATTAAAACGTTATAAATTTATTTTGAAGAAGACGAGAGACAAGACCAATGAGTCTAAGAAAAAATCTTAAAGCTAAAATGACTTGAGGGGAAAAATAATTTTTAAATGCTGGCTTTGTTTATTAGTGCTTTTTAAGGTACACATAAAAGATCTGATTATGTATGACAGGCTTTTTCTGCACTAGACATGCGTATTGTAGTTTATGGTGCTCAACATTTTTATTATAATTTGTTTATGTGTTTGAAGTTATGTCGCGCAGGTTTAAAATACGAATTGCTATAATGGGAACAACATTTCTAAGCTAAAATTTTTTCTTTTATATTCTTGCAGGAGAAAAGAACAAATATTGCGAGAGAAATAGCAGCTAACGACGGAGTATGTGGTAGCAGTTAACGTTAAAATCTTGTAAAATTTTACATCTTAAAAAGAAAAGTATTTATTTAAAATAATATAATTATGAAGTGTTTCTTTCCTTCATTTCACAAAAAAACTAATTTTTGTTCACTCATTTTTTATTTTCACATTTTACTTCATCTGGCAAACTGTTTTGAGTAAATTCAAATATATAAAACCCTTTTTTTTAAATTAGTTTCAGTTGGTCAAAAGTGATGGTGTAAGAGTAAACGGTTTAGCTTAAAATTCAATTATTTTTTAAAAGAGAAAATACTTTATGGGTTTTTTTTTTGTTTGTTTTATGACGAATATTTTACATTATATAAATATATAAAACTTGAGATAAAAAAAACTTTTGAAAAAAAAACGTTTACTTTTTCCTTTATAATTGGGGAAAAGTAAACTAGTTAAATTTTAATTACAATAGATTAAGATCTTAAGAAAATCAAGTTAAATCAATTAAAAAAATAAAACGAAAACTAATCTTATTAAAAGTTAAGTTTTCAAAAAATATATATTTTAATCAAATATACAAAAAAAAAAACTTTTAATTCAATAAATTTGAGTTGTTTCATGGTCAAAAGCGGGTCCGCGGCATTTTTCCATGCAAAATACTTTTCACAAATTTTGTATTTTTTGGTTAAAAACGATCGACAAACCCAAGGCTTGCAACTAAAAGCTTCGCATTGGTACCACATGTTATTTTGAGTTGGCAATGCTTCTTTCCGAACTCTGCGACACTTTTTGCACCTTTTCGTGTAAGAAAATGACACTTGTAAAACTGACCCGAATCTAATCACTGAATTTAACACTTTTTTTACATATGTTGCTCATAAACTCAAATATTCATTCGTTTTACGTTAACTATCAAAAGTATCTTAAATACCCAAGTTTACATCGTTTAATTATTATCTCCAACAAATATTTCTGAAATTTTATCTCATCTAAATTGAATCCAAAAAAATCATTAGGTCCAAACAGCATTCCCACTAATATTCTTATAGATTTTAACTATGAATTTTCAAATATTCTTTTTAAACTATTTAACACCTCATTCATAAATGGAACATTTCACGATATTTTGAAACTATCTTGTGTTATTCTAATATTTAAAACTAGCAGTAAGCAACCCGTAATAGGCGTTGTTAGTAAATAAAATTAAAACAAAAACCGCGTATAGAAAAGCCTAGAAACTACTTTAAAATAGAAAAGTCTAGAATATGACGTAACTCGACTAATATTAAATTAGCGTATTCATATTATCAGAATATCTCTAAACTTTCATGCACGAACTATACACAGGTCAGAAATTTAAGGTTTAAGTTTACTATCCGAGTACCCCAAAAATGTTAATAAATATAGTAAGTGGGGCATCTGGACACTTCATTTTCATATTTAGAAAAATCTGGGAGGTATCACATTTTTAGAAAATTGACATAGAAAATCTGATAAAAAGTCATTATTTTCGTACTTAAAAAAACTAAATATATTGACGGAACAGTAAAACTAACATAAAATAACTTTATATTCCAAGTTTTTATGCTCTTAAATTTTGTATTTACACATCAACTTCATTAGACAGCTCTTAGATATATCTAAGTTGGTGAAAAAGGTTTAGATATGCTTGAATTATATTAGGAACATAGTATGCTTAGTAAAGTAGAACATATTGATAGTATATAAGTAATTTAGTAAAATATTAGTATTGTATGCATAGTTGCCTAATAACCTAATATATATAAATAATAATAATATAATAAATACTAAATAAAATATTTCAAAAACTGTTTATACTAATGTATTTTTAGTGTCTTTTTGAATAAATTTACAAATTTTTTTAACTTTAAGATTTCAATAATGTTTATGTTTTGATGTACAATTAATGTTCAATAACTTATAAATTATTTGAACTGAACACTTCAGCAATTCTTTTGCTTCTTTCTTTATGTTTGTTGCTGTACTGCGAGACTCCAAACCTGTTTATTACACTTTTCATCTTGGAATGGCAAGATTCAGATGTCTGCTCATTAAACTGCCCAAGGGAAAGGCCACTCAAATCAACAAATGTTTCCAGATGTGCTGTTACAGCATGTACTTTCCAAGTAACCGTGAGCTGTTTACCTAAAAACTAAAAAAGCTTACTATAAATATGTTTATCAATAACTTGGTTTTAAATACAAAGGGTAAAGAAAACAGCAATTACCTCTCTGCAATAGTCTTGTGCATCCTTATAGCTTTGTGTAAAACTTTCAATTAAAATTGAATAGTTTGGGTCAAGTTTATAGCTAAAGACACCATGAACAACCTTATTAAATTTTCTCATTGTTTCTAAGAGAGGATACAGTTCAACAGGAATTATCAACTCAAGTTTGTCGCAACTTTTAAGTATCTCTCTACACGTGTTTCCTTCAAATGTTCCTCCATGGTAACCTTTTCGAAGGCATCCAATGCTCTTGACCCAATCTATAAATCCAGGCCAAAGTTGCATTATAAATTCTGCCACATGGTTAACAAATCCCATCAGAAGGTGAAGTTCTGATAATGGAATCTCTCTTATTATACTTAGAGATTTGTCTTCTATCTTAAGCAGACAAGGATTAATGACATTCTAAATATATGGAAATAAATTTATTCTTTTTAAAATGATAAAATTATAATGGATGATAAATTTTGAAAATATTTACAATATATTTATTCATTTATACCTTATATTCTTTCATTCTTTTCACCGGAGATCCTGCAGATGAATACAGTTCATAGTAATTATTCAAAGATTGAAATGTTCTTAACTCTCCAGAAAATAATTCTGAAGAACCTTCACACCATGCACAAGCATACTTTCCTCCATGAGCCTAAAATTTTATATTATAATTCAATTTATAAATATATTGTAGGGTAAAAAAAACATTTTCCTAATATAGTTTTTACCATAATATGCCTTATTATCTTAAAATTATTTAAAATAAACACACCGAAATTCCTAGCAATATGTTAATTAACTTCATGTCAGAAGCCAATGAGTACTTGCATTCATGCAATTTTAATTTTTCCACAATCATTGTCATGTTAGAATGATTCTCACTTACCCTTTCACAATAAGCTAAAACAAGTGACGTATTTGCTCCTGAGTATGATCCTAAGGAGCTGCTATCTTCTGTCCTGTCCTTGGTTGGATCAAACAGATTTACTATAACTTTCAGTGATCCTCCACCTATAAATATATATATGCTTACACACATACATATTTGTATATAAATATGTACAAATAATATTTTTAAAAACAAGTTTTTAAAAAAACAATTATTAAAATATAATAAGTAATATAAATTAAATAAATTAAATATAAATACCTGAATCTATTCCAACCTTTACAAATGTGTTTTGTGGAACCTGCCCTCGATATTTCATTACAAAATCCAAAAATGTTGTAATATCTTCAATGTATACCAAGTGTCTCTTCACTGTAGCATAGTCATTATCTTTTTCCTTTTCTTGAAAGTCTAATAATTCAGTGACATAAAAGTTGGAAAGTAGTTTACTTTTTTCATCCAGGGCTTTCTCTATGTTTGACTCAAACTTTACGCCGCTTCTCCTCAATGTTTTTAACATTTCATATGACTTCAATTGACTAAGTCCTAAGGTATTTACTAAAACTTCTACTTCATTATAAGGAATCTTTCTCTGGTCACTTTCCCGAGTACCGAGTGTAATATGAATACTTTTACCTCCTTAATATAATATAAACTGTTATTTTAAAAACGTACATAGCAGCTATTTTTATTTAACAATATTTTACCTGTTCTGAGAATGGCTTGAGCTCCTAGACTTTGTTCTTGATCAGAATAAATTTCTTTTAGAAGGGAAGAAGCTACTTGTTCTTTTACTTTTTTAGAAATTTTAGAAATACTCTCATAAAGATTTGTGCTACTCTTTAAAGGGGAACATTTGTGGGGTTTACCTTTAGCAATTTCACAGAAACATATTTGGCAAAATTTCAGTGTTGAGCTAGTTCCCTTTTTTATACTTTTATTTAATAATCTATTTCTTCCTTGACTGCATATACTGCATAATATTGAGCAATCTCTAGAGGTTTGCAAGCTAGACAAATCAGAATTTTTCCATTTTAAAGTAACTGTGTCTGCAATAGTTTTACCAGCCTTACAGAGATATAAGTTTTTCTTGCAACCTGGGCATAATCCTGTAGGGTAGGCAAATACTTTAAGTGAAAACTCAGGCTTACAGAAAACTTGAACCAGGCCTTCCAAATTTTTATTAACTGGAATGCATTTGTTGTTCTTTTCAAGGCAGCAACAGCAAATGATTTTTTGAAAAAGTACATGATTTCTTTTAAAATGGTATTCTCTCTTCTCCTTAGAGAGCAGAGGAGCCATAGATTCAATATATTAGGTATCTATAATAAAATTAAAATAAAAATGCATAGTCAAAAAGAAACATTTTTAATAAAAAATGTTTTTTTGACCAACTTTGTGTATTCTAATAATGTTTATGTATAAATATTAAATTAAATACCTTGAAAAGTTGGTATATGAACATTTTTTTAAATAAACTTCAACTTTCTGTCAGTATATTTAGTTTTTTTAAGTACGAAAATAATGACTTTTTTTCAATGTCAATTTTCTAAAAATGTGATACCTCCTAGATTTTTCTAAATATGAAAATGAAGTATCCAGATGCCCCACTTACTATATTTATTAACATTTTTGGGGTACTCGGATAGTAAACTTAAACCTTAAATTTCTGACCTGTGTATAGACCTGTTTTTCTTTTATCTAAGATTAGTAAGCTTCTGGAAAAGTTTATGTATTTTAGAGTGTACTTTTCTAAACTCAATTAATTGTTTAAGGGGCAACTACCCTCACATTTTTTTAAAAATTTGATTTTTTTTTTTTTAATAATTTTAGACCAAAATTTTATGCAGATTTTGAATCTGCAAAAAAAATCAAACATTTTTTTATAAATTTTTGTTTAATTTATGTTTTTTTGAACTCAAGTAAAAAATATTTGCATAGCAACGCGTTGCTATGGGGGCGAATATTTTGTTTGTGAACATATCCTGGAGTACTGTTTCAAATATATGCTTTGATTTATATCTTCTTTGCTAATTAATATTCTGTTCCTTATTATATGCCATTTACAATTGCTACTTTAATACGATTTTATCAAGTTATCAAAGCTAATTTATATAACAGCAGAAATTAAAAAATATGACAAAACCTACTGATTTGGGTGTTATTTTGAACAAAAATATTAATGATAGAGTAAAGCAGAGAACAAATTACTATAAAAAAAGAAAAGGATTTATGGTGAAGAAAAATAAAAATGCATGTAATGTAAGTGAATGTGACTCTATTGAAAGAAATATTTTGGGCGCATCAGCTAAAAAAGTAAAAGTTGTTACAAATGTACCAAGTAAAAACATTAAAAGAATTACTGGTTACAGAATTATAGACACTGAAATTTTATCTAAAGTTCTTTCATTGTTAATGTGTCCTCAATGTGAAAAGTGTGCACTGTACTTAGGTGATCATCAGAAAAATAAGAAAGGTCTAGCAACGTTGCTATATTTAAAGTGTACTACACTATCTTGTGACTATAAACATGAATTTTATACATCAGTTGCTTGTGATAAAGGGTTTGATATTAACAACAGGACAATATATGCAATGAGAGTCTTAGGCCATGGTCATTCTGGCATTGAAAAGTTTACTCAGCTCATGAATATATTCCAAAACCCAAGACACCCAAAAACTATTCAAAAATTACAACTAAAATAAAAAACATAGTGAAAAGTGTTGCAAACGAAACAATGTCAGATGCTGCAACTGAAATGAAAGAAAATGCAACTAGTGAGGACATTGTTGATGTTGGTGTATCATGCGATGGATCATGGCAGAAAAGAGGATATCAGTCAATGAATGGAGTTTTTACCGCAATTTTAATAGATAGTGGAAAAATAATTGATGTTGAACCTATGAATAAATCATGTAAAGCTTGCTGTATGAAAGAACAATTAAAAAAATCAAGTCCTGATGCATATGCTAATTGGAAAAACAAACATATTTGCCTGTACAATTATCAAGGTACAGCTGGTGGTATGGAATCAGTTGGCGCAGTGAGAGTTTTTAAACGCTCCATTGAAAAACATAAGTTAAGATATACTCAATTTCTTGGTGATGGGGATAGTAAATCCCATCTTTCTATCAAAGATATATACCCAAATATGGAGGTAAAAAAGTTGGAGTGTGTAGGACATTACCAAAAACGAGTTGGTACTCGCTTACGCAAGTTAAAAAAAAATGTTAAGGGTCTAGGTGGTCGTGGTCGATGCAGTTATTGATCCAGTTATGAACCAATGCAGTTATTGATCGCTTGCAAAAATTTTTTGGTGTAGCTATCCGGAGCAATACAAATGATCTGAATCAAATGAAACAAGCAGTATTAGCTAGCCTTTTCCATGTAGCTTCTTCTAAGGAAAATAACTCATATTTACTGCCCGACTGGAGGTGATAGTTGGTGTAAGTTTAACATTGATAAAGCAAAGTCTACTTCCATATACAAACCTGGACCAGGAATTCCTGCAGATATTATTCACAAAATCAAGCCAATATATGCTGATTTAAGTAAAGATTCTGAATTAGTAAAGTGTCTTCATGGCAAAACCCAGAATTGCAACGAGAGTTTTAATAATTTAATATGGGATAGATTACCAAAAAGTAATTATGTTGGTTTAGCCAGTTTAGAGTTTGGAGTGTACGATGCTGTTGCAAATTATAACATCGGTATGAAGTCTGTCATTTTAATTTATGAAAAACTAAATATGAAACCAGGGCATTTTACTTTAGCTGGTTGCAGACTCATAAACAAAAAACGAATAAAACTATCATTATTTAAATCGAGTGAAAGTTTTAAGATGAAACGAAAGATGTTACGACGTCAACAATTATCAAATGATCATCGAAAGTCAATAGAAAAGTCCAAGGAATATTATGAATCTGGTAGTTTTTAAAATATTCTTTTAAAAAGTTATTTTTTTAAAGATATTTTTATGAAATGAACAATAATTTATGGTTTTATTTTTTGTTTTGTGTTTTCTGAGAATTTAATTTTCAAACACGCCGGGAAAAAAATCTTGAAAAGTATACATGCTATCATGATGAAATTTTCAGGGATCGTTCATTTTACCAATGTTTATGATATGAGCGGAGTAGAATTTCTCATATGACTTAAGATTTTGAGTTTTTTAGTTTTTTTCTTTGTATTTTGACCTTTTTTTTAATAATCTAATTTGACTGTAGCTTTTTATCAAAAAAAAAAAATTTTATTTAAAAATCTGCTTCGCTCATATCACAAATTTACATATTTAGAACAGTTCTACAAAATTTCATTGACACTCCTTTACTCATAATTCTTATTTTTTTTACGGCGTAAACACAGTTTTTGTGGGTTTTTTAGCTATTTTTTTGAGTTGCCATAGCAACGAGCTACCATTTTATATATTTTTTGGTATTTTTAATGTCAGTATAATATTTACTATATGACTAAAGAAAAAGTTACTTTATATGTGTTGTTTTGAAATTTGACGGTAGTTGCCCCTTAAATAATTTTCAATTTGGTTTTCGATAAAAAAAGATTCTGCCATTCATTAATAAATATAACAGAAAAAATCAGAAAAGCTCTTGATACTTTTTGGTCCTTTGTGGTGTTTTTATCGGTTACAAAAAGCTTTCTAAACCATTGACCATAGTATTTTAATTTCTAAATTAAAACATGTAACTCACAGTATTGTAAATGACTGTTTCGATCTTATCTTTCAGACAATTTGTAAATATTAATGGTTTTAATTCTCGTAAAAAATTAGTTTTGTTTAGTGTTTCTCAACGATCTGTTTTTAATCCTCTTTTGTTTTTAATCTACCTTAATGACATAAACAACTCTATTCGCTTCTCGTCAATTCATCTGTTTGCTGATGATACAAACCTCTTGCTTGTTAACAAATCGCATCATTATTTATGTTAAAATAAAAATTCGGATCTAAAAGGTATAGCTTACTGGTTAAAATAAAAGGTATAGTTCACTGGTTAAAATAAAAGGTATAGTTCACTGACTAAAATAAAGGTATAGTTCACTGGTTAAAAAAGGTATAGTTCACTGGTTAAAAAAAAGGTATAGTTCACTGGTTAAATGCTAACTTAATATGCCTTAACACTGAAAAAACTGAACTAATTGTTTTTTCATATCAAATGTTTCAACATTTTTATTGAAAAATCTGTTTCTATAAAAATGTTGAAACTAAAATCAAAATTAATAATAAGCGGCTGTATCCTTTGAAAATTTTTAAATATTTTGGTGTGTTAATAGTCTGCAATCTTTTATGAAACTTTCGCGTTGATGAACTACACAAGAAACTCGATTTAACGGTATGCTTTCAATAATTCGTCATTATGTCGATAAAGTAGCACTTTTATTTATTAAGAATATTTATTATGCTTAATTCTCATCTCATCTTAGCTATTGTTGTCAAGTTTAGGGTCAAGTTGGAAGTTATCGCATTAACAGGTTACTATCGTGTCAGCGCCAAATCATTAGAATTATAAACTTCTTACCATTTAAATTTCCAGCGTTTCTAACCCAGCAAGCGCAACATAAAAAAAGATAAGCTTAGTTTCTATTGCGTGTTTAAAACCTTCTGAAACAAAAAGATTCCGTGAAATTAATAGTAACTATTTACCAAAAACACCAGTTAAATATTAATGGTTTTATCGTTACGGAAACGTAGTATGATATTATACTAATTTTCCGTAGAGAATGTGAAACCAGTGATAAAAGCACGCGACATTTACTTTGAAAGCTTAAAAAACAAGTGTTAAAGTCAAATAAAACTGCGCGGGAAATACACGTGTTTTTGGTTTACGCTTGGATCGCTACAAACACGTGTCAAACACTATAAAACACTATATACAGGTCTTAATTCCGGAAGTGAAACTAGATGATCAGGCTGGAAAGGTATGCTAATCTTCTTTTTATTTTTGACTCCTTAAATAAAAACTTATCATATTCCATTACGAACTTGTTCACTGGAAGTAGACTCGTACATTTCTACTCTACTAGAATTATATACAATGGAAAACTAAATGTACCATCTTTTAAAACCCAGAAGTGTGGCAAGCATTCTATTGTTATTAGTACGTCTGTGAATGGAACTGGAGTCTTGTTTTGTTTTAAATAAGTCCAAAAACTACATCCTAAAATACTTTTCCTCCATCTTTAACAAAATCAATTTAAAAATATTCTGAAAAACATTTTATTCTAACTTTTAGACATTATCCTTAATATTAAAATATTCTTTTTATTTTATTTTCGTTATTACTACAATTATTATCAATAGTTTCTGTTTGTTTATTTTTTTATTTTTTTTATTATTGTAACCTGCAAATTATAATTTCTACATGTTTATTATAATGTATATTTTATATGCTTTAATTTATGTGTTTATGCTCCATGTGTTTCAATGTGACAAGTACTGAAATAAAAACAAGTGCTTTAATAAAAACGAATTCAAACGCTGTACTTAGCACAGTAGTTG